AGCAGGAGAGAGCTTGCTGGTAAGAAAAGGGCTGAAAGAACTCTTGCTGGTTGGCCATTAGAAGGTGCCACATGGTTTTGGATTAACTGAAGATCCTGGCAGTGACACAGCTGATGGTGCTGGGAACTGAGGGAGGCTGGCCAGCCAAGCACGGATTACTGGGAAGAACCGGGGGCTGCCTGAGCCACGGACTTCTATTTCTTTTCCTGAGATATGGTACCTTAGACTGGGCAAGGGGGGAAGGAAGGACTGTGTACATTTGTGGGTGTTCCAAGGGACTTTGGGATTTTAATGAAGACACCATTAAGTCTGTATAACTTTTGAATAAATAATTCCTTTCTCTTTCACCAATCTCTTACATTGAGAGCTATAATTCCCTGGCAGTGGGCAAGGTGAATCTAGTACAGGGGGACCCCAAGAGAAGGGAGGGTCCATTCGGTAATAGTATTTCATCCCTGTGCCCCACCACCCGCTGGTCCGTTCTATAACAGGACCTCGTTATCCAACCAAATGGTTGGTCAGCAATGCATCCTTTGTATTGATTTATGACCAAGAGAGGAATGTGTGGAAGAAAAGGGGCCATATATTAACCTGACAAGCTCAGTGGAGGCCTGTGAGAAAGCCTTACAAACTCAGACCATAAATAACCAAAAAGGATGGTCTAAAATGAAATCTTATTAACTAAAAGCAGTTCATGTTGGGTAGCCATGTCCTAGGCCAGTAGTTTTCCCTAACAAAGGTCAATGTTTACCTTAACTGAGACTGCCTATTTGTCTTTTTGCATCGATGAACGGACCCTTGGAATGTTAAGGTAACTTCCTTTTTTTCCCCCCAAAACCCTTGGATACAAGGTGATACCACAAACCTCATTGTTGCTGTTGTCATATTAATTATTGATTGTTAACTGTCTTGTACCCATCTATATAAAAGTAGTGTGTCTATCATTTAACCTTTGATCCAATCCCAGAGGTCCACCCTCCACTTTGCTTTCTCCTGCCTCCCGTAATCTATCACCAATGGACTTCATGTAACCCCCTTATGTCTCCTCCTTTTATTCTAGTGTACAAAGTAAGGTGCTAAGCTGCCCTTCTCTGGAGCATTCCTCAAACTGTTGAGGTGTTGCTTCCTGACAATTGTCAGTTTGGCTCAAATAAACTCACCAAAAATTCTATACAGGTTTGAATGTTTCTTACATCGATAGTTCCAGCAAAGAAAGAATGCAGAGCCAGACTCAGACTATAAGACAAAGTTTATTTAGAAAGTTACAGAGGCAAAAGAAGGTCCTTTGGAAGAAATGGGCTCAGGAAACATGTTAAAGGGGCAAAAGCAGGGCCTTTGGAGCTTAGGAGGGAGAAAGGTAAGGTAATGTTCTAGGGGCAGGCTTGTGAGGGGAAGAAGGGAAGGCCGAGAGCTCTGGGTCCTTTGTCTTGAGGGTTTTGAAACTGGGGACTTTAGGGGAGGGTAGTGATAGAATATTTATCTACTTTATGCTGCTGTGCCCACATGAGATTTGTTCCCCTGACTCCATCCGTCCTTTGGTGTGGTTGGTGCAAAGGGCACTAACCGGATTTCTGTGATCCATCTCCCCGAGTAGGTGATTTAAGCTATTTACCCTCTGTTGGGGGAGGAGAAGTGTGAACCATTCACCCTTAAGTGTCCTTGGTTAGGGAAGGTAGGATTTTGAGATTTACTAGATGGCCAGTTAACTGTCCCTCTTAGTTTCCCTGTTCTACTTGTCCTGGCTGACTGGCCTGTCCCAGAAAGACAAATATGTGTGAGTGGCTCCTTGTGGGGAATGGACGTTCCCTTGCTTGAAAAGGTCACTGGGTGGTAGGAATTTTAACCTTATGGGACCACCATCATATATATTAGGTTCACCATTGACCTTGTCAACTGAAAAATAGTATCAATTAGATGTTTCATCGCCAAAAAAAGATTTCTTTGGGGAAAAAGAGAAAGGCGGTGATAGACCTGGGATTAGGCCAGGAGGAGCCTGAATGAAGTAATCAGAGGCGGAGCTCCAAACCGCCCTAATGGTGGAGGTGTGACACTCAGGCTTCTGCTTCCTGTCCCAGAAGCTGCAGTGGTTGGCAGGGGCCCCCTCTGAGGAGCCTGGGGTCACTGTGGGGGAGGCCCAGGGCCTCTGTTCCCCTCCTTTAGGCTCCAGGTCTGTCCTCCAAGTTCGTTTCACAGCCATACTCCTGGCCTCAGCCTGAGTCCCTTCCTGAGCCAGGCCTGGGGATTTGTTTAAGGAGTTGTTTGGCCCACCCTGCCTGCCCTCTTTGAGAGGATGTTGCTGAGGGAGCTCTCACCACCAGCCACCTCCACCATGGACCAGACAGCCCCAGAGAGGCTCGATCCCTATGCTGGTAAGTCAGCCCAAGCTCTCTCCCCAGGCCTACAAGGGTTCCGCCGAGTTGCTGCTGATTTTGTTATATTTCTGACCTCTGCAAAAGCAAGAACACTGTCTTGTCTACACCACACCACATACACCTCAGTTTGAAAAGGCCTTGAAATTGGGATGCGGAGGCTGGATTAAATTTCCCTCCCCACCTCTCTACGCAAACACACACTTTAGCACTACCTGTGAAAACTTGAAATATGTATACCCTTTGGCAACAATTACACTCTTAAAGGGTATCTTCCCCTAAATTTACAAAGAAATGTGTGCAAGTGAGAAGTTCATTATTGTGCACACTGTGGATTGAATTAATAACTGATGTGTTCATGCAATGGGAAAGGAAAAAGATTGCAGCCAGTGCATGCAGACATTATAAGCCATGTGAACACTGCGTGGTGTCCGAGATGGAGAAGTACACATACAATACTAATTGGAGGGAAAGGGAGTTAAGGGGAGGGACAGCTACCCCCATAGAGCTTTACCGCGAGCATAGAGTTTTTCTGGCAGGATTTTTGTGATGATATGCCATTCGTCGCTCCTCCCAGAACCCCTAGCTCCTCCCACAGGCCCATGTTTATTTCATCTCTCTGTCATAATATTCATTATCCAAATGTCATCACTCATCCTGAGAGATTCCCATTCTCCACCTGAGTGAGTATGTTCTGTGCGCCACGATTTGTAAGATCAGAATCTGGGGAGCTGCCCAAAGGCCTGACTGAAGAGGAGGCGGAGCATGATTTCGTGAGAAGCTGTGAAAAAGTTGACCTGTGGCCTGCAGGGACTCAGGGCACTGCAGCGGAAATGAGTAGGGGAAAGCAGACTCTGTGACACAACTGACTGCAATGATTTATGCTCATAAAGGCTTAAGAGACAAGCACCTAAAAAATTGGAGAGTGAGGCTGAGTTTACAAAAAGAAAGGACGCTGTGACCTTTAAAGTAGTATAAATTCACAAAGAGACACCAAGCTCCACTGAACAAAACCGCAGGGTTATCTGTTCGGGTGGTTGCGCGCCTCCTGGTGTGGGCCCACGGGATCCGTAGGCTCTCACTTGGGTTCTGCAGATTTGGGCTCTTCATGCCAACTGTTTTTATTTACATGCTGCCCCTCAGCTTTCCCCTGTCACTCGTCTTCTGCCTCATTTCAGCTTGCTTTGGCAATGCATTCTAAAGGCGTCCCCTGTGCAGGAGGCCTTGCTGGAGGTTGGAGTCACACTTGGTTTCTGTGTGGTGAGAGAGGTACCTAGGTCATGGTTGGTCGGAAGCTGATGCAGAAAAGGTGGGCTCCCCCACTGCCGCGTGGTTTGGAGCAGGCTTCTCATGTCTTAAGATCTGGGTCAATCAGCAAAGTTGAAAACTCCACGAATATGGATTCTGGGAAGGGAAGAGGGCTGTTGTCTGAAACATCAGGGGCAGGAACCTGGTTAGGTCCTAACATTTCAAATTTGGACCCGCTGTGGTGTTGGTTGTGTGGGGGCTGATGGAGGTGAGGAGTAGCAGCTGCCACTGGGAACCCAAGCGAGACAGTCTTGTCTGAGCTCAGAACTGAGGAGTCTGTTTCCTGTGAGGAGCTCAGCAGCAGCGCTGCAGCCACAGCAGTGAGTCTTTGGCGCCTGTTCTCTTTCCTCAGGAGCAGGAGAGTCCGAGGGATGCATCCCTTGGACCACAGGAGCCTCCAAGGAGAGAGGCTTTCCTACCACGTGCTGGACTGGTGGTCTGGTGAGGGGTGAGAGGAGATAGGAAGTGGTTTTAAATTAAGTGCTTTAGCCCTGGCTGGTGTGGTTCAGCGAACTGAGCGCCAGCCTACAGGCCAAAAGGTTGCCAGTTCAATTCCCAGTCAGGGTACCCACCTGGGGTGTGGGCCAGGTCCCCAGTTGGGGGCATGTGAGAGGCAACTGATTGATGTTTCTCTCCCTCCCTTTCCCCCTTCCTTGTCTCCAAACACAAGCAAATAAAATATTAAAAACAAAATGAACTAACTGAAGGAAGTGAAACAAGTGTTACAGAGCAATTCACAGTGGCTCCTGCAATTGAGAGGAAGAATAGCTCATAGTTCGAGAAGCTGAATTTGCTCTCAGTTGAGGCTGCACAGAGTTCAAGAATTAATGGTCCTCTGCAGACTGGTAACACTCCACACCAAGATTCCAGATCCCACTGGCCTTCCAGTTGGATGGTGTTACTTCTGCCTCAGCTGCCCCTGTCTGTGGGCTTTCTTGCTGCCTGTTGGAGGCTGTATTCTTCCCAGTTCTCACTGTGAATCTGGGATAGCAAGGGGTTTCTCTCAGAAGATAGCTTCTGAAAATTTCAGAAATATACATGTCATCTATGGCAGGAGAATCTAAAGTGAAAACTTAAGAAGCTTGGAGGCTTTTAAAACTGCGATTCTGATAGCAGTTACAAATGAGCTTTTTAATGTCTCTAGAAGCTCACCAAAAATCCCACTTTGACCTGTGCGAGTTTGCAGATGCCACTAAAAGCTTGACTTCTGACTGGGGTTGATTCAGAGAGGGTGGGGCTGCCCCAGGAACCACACCCCTCTCTCTCCACAGCGGTGGTTGCCTGGCATACATATGTAACTTTTCGTTTTTGGTCTCTCCCCAGTTCTTGGCCCAGCTGATGGTGTTCCTGATCAGTTTCATAAGCTCCGTGTTCTGCGGCCACCTGGGGAAGCTGGAACTGGATGCTGTCACGCTCGCAATCGCAGTGCGTAGGGGCTGCTCTCACACATTGGCATCGGGTGTGCCTGCTGTCCATATTAGTTTCCTCTTGCTGCTGTTAGGAGCTGCCACGCTTCTCAGCTTAAAGCAATGCGAATGGATTACCTTGCAGTGCTGGCGTCAGGAGTCTGCAGGAGTCTGTTGGGTTTCACTGAGCTAACCAAAATCAAGGTGTTGGCAGGGCCTCGACCTTAATTCTCCTGCACCCTGTGATTTCACATGTTCCCATGCTCCAGGGGTTAGGACAGGGACATCTGGGAGGGACCATTATGCTGTCCACCACATCAGCTTTGTGCCACACCTGGGAGAAGAAAATTGAAAAAGAGGGTTCAGCACTGACGTCAGAAGAAACTCGATCTCTGCCCCTACCCGATGACTTGTACATCTCACTGAGAGTCCCACTCTAGAAATGGGACTGGAAGATGATCTTGGTATCTAAACCCCAAATCAGAAAGAACCCTAAATCCTCCTTGGATCTTATGTACAAATCCCCCCAAACCAGAGGGAGATGTCATTGACTTTTGCTGGGACTTACCTGGCTATGCTTGGCCAGCAGGCCCTGGCCAACTTGTTGGTTCGGTCAGCTAGGTATTAGAAAAGTGGACTCAGTGACTTTCAGCAACTGTGCTCCTGCTCTCCTCCGCTTCCGGTTCCCCTTTGCTCCTGCCCTGACCAGGCTCACACTCACCAGTCTGCTACATCCAGGCATTGGAATTGTTATCTGTGAACTGTGCAAGGCAACTCAGAACTAGTCCCCAGGTATAAACAGATTATTTTGCTTTTAGGGGGCAACATGGACAATCCTAGGCTAAATTATCCTTTTTGTTTTTAATGTTTGGCAGTTTGGGGGACAGAAAGGTGCTCAGCTAGCCTCTAGTATCTTCTCGTTGGCCAAAGAAGTATAAGAGAGCTGGTGTGGAGTGGGCTGTCACCCTGGGCATCTCCCTGCAGCTCAGGTGGTGGTAGCAGGTCCAGTCAAGGACAGCATCAGATGTCCTGCTACGCCATTCCCTGATCAGATGTTGCTGCCTTGGGCCTCCCAAGGCTCCAGTGACCCCAGGGTTTTGTTGCTGACCTGGTCAAGACAGGTACATCTAGAAGGCCTCTGGCATGGCCTTCGCCTCAAAGACTTGCTTCTGTGCTCCCAGAGTCCTTCAGGATGTTGTAACAAGCCGTGCCTGGTCTTGAGCAAGGGCACTAACCCCAAACTGCTATTGTGCCACGTTGCCTGCCCCTGAGGAAGGATTTGTGTTCCTCTGATATGAGGGAGCAAAATGCTTAGGCTTTGAAAAAGAAAAAGGCTGAGTAATGAACTCTGGCCTTGCTCTTTCTTCCCTCTTGAAACTCGTGCTTGCCCTTCAGTTCAGCAGGCTGGTGGGTTTGGGTGGGGCTCCAGGCTGAGGACCGAGTCCATTGCGGTGGCAAGCTGTAGAGGCCCCTGTGGCTCTGACCCATGCACAGAGAATTTGCCCTGCTGCCTTCCTTGAATTCTGAGAGGCCTCTCCTTTGTATTTTTCCTCAGGTTATCAATGTCACCGGCATCTCCGTGGGATTTGGTTTATCTTCTGCTTGTGACACCCTCATGTCTCAGGTAAATGGAAGCCCCAGGTCACCTGCATGGTGACCTAGAGATCTCTCTTGAGTGTGTCTGGAAGAACCCCACTGGCAGCAGCAGTCCTGTGCACAGAGGGACAAAATCTTTGATGGCAAACCCTGGGGCGTTTTGCCAGCCATCAGTTCCAGCTCTCCTTGCCTGCTTTCTCTGAAGTGTGGCTGGGTGCCTGTCTCAGGCCTGTGGGAGTGGCGTTTATCTGCATGTCTCCCTTATACTACATTTTGATCACATAAGGGACATTTTGTAAAAGTTTCTTCTGTCACTTTCCACATCATTGAGTTTGGGATAGTCTGTGGTTCTCAAACTTTAGTTTTCATCTCAATGCCCTGGGGCCTTGTTGAGACACAACAAGTGGCCTGGGCTCCCCCCAGGGCATGCTGGTAAATGCTGAATGACCAGGTGTTGGTGGAGGAGTGTCCCTAAAACTCCCCGGGATGAGAACCCAGAGAAAGAGGCTGATGACCCTGTCACTGAATCTGGAGCTTATGAAGGGAATTCACAAGGGAGGCACGCGTCTGGTGGCTGGCACATCCACAGGGATGTCCTCTGTGCCACGTGGCAGGCATGAAGGGGTCACACAGGACAGGGCAGGATGGGTGGGGCACTGTGGTGAGACCTGCCCTAGACAAGGAGAGGTGTTACATGCTGCCCCAGGCAGGGCAAAGCCTGTTCTAGGAACTAGCACCCTGTGGAGCATAGGGGAGGGGTCTGTCAGGCAGTCTGTGAGGAGACTTAGGGGACACACACCTGGGAAGAGTGTCTTCTCCACATTCCCCCTCATGACCAGCTCCTACAATGTTCCATGCCTCCCTCTTCCCTGAGGTGCCTGAGAGAGATCAGTAAGAGGCTTCATTAGTGGAGATGTAGCTTGCTTAGTCACCAACTGGACACATTAGGGGCACAGTCCATAGCAACAATATAAACATGTGCAAGAAAAAGAAAGAATTAAAAGAAGCAACCCAAGTATTAGTGACAGTGTTTTCCATCACACCCCTGGATGGAGTGCTAGGTCCCCTAGACTTGGGGTTGGGTCACTTCAGGGGTTCACTTGAGCTTTCATGTGTTAATGAAGAAGAAATATTAGGAGATTCATCTGATATAAAATACACAACATTCAGCTGGGGTGCCCCCCATAACTATTGGATGCCACAGGAGCAGCAGAAGTCTAAGGTCAGAAAGGCCAGCATTCAGTAGGGACTTGAGCTGGGAGGTCTTCTTCTAGCGTGTCTCCGTGGGCATCAGGATGACAGGGTCCCGTGGGAGACTGAGAAGTTCCTCCCCATTCAGGGGTGTGAAGTAACTGACCCATCCTAGCAGAGTGTCCCTTCACAGATTCCAGTAATGGCCTCTGTTCCAGGGACAGTAGGTCTTGATGCCCGCATTACCACAGCCCACTGGTCCTTGGCAGGCACCTGCATCATTGCTGTAGCCTTTGTTTTCACACATTTGCCGTGTGGGCTCCTTAGTCTGAGTCCCTAATCTGACCTATGGGGCAATAGGCCCCATGGGTTGGTCATTTAAATATGTTAATGCCTGGAAAAGCACCTCGGTCTGCCTGGCCAAAGTCTATCTTCCAGCTAATAATTTTATCTATGGCTGAAGGACACCCTTTTCCTGTTCTATCCACCTGCCTGATTGTGGGTTACAGGGGAGGTGGGACCTCCATTCAGAATCATGTTCTTCTGCCCATTCTTGTGCATCGTGTCCTTTGAAATGTGACCACCCCTCTCCCTGGTCACTATTTGATGAGGGTGCCCATGCACAGTACTTAAATTTCTCTAGTCCTTTTACGGTAGCAGCCTGATTAAACTGCCAACAGGGGAGGCCTGAGTTAAACCACATTTGGTGAGGACACACACCGAAGCCTATTTGGAGCCTTTACTCGAGGGGAGAGGCCAGTGTCCTCAGTTTGCCAGTCCCTCACCCACCAGGGGGCTGCAGTGCATAGACGGACTTGTGCTGGCATCTTTGCCAACTCCAGAGCCACTGCCCTTAGCTTAAGCTGCAGCCTCTCCTCCCTAGCTATGTGCCATCCTACGTGGGCACTAGGCTGTCTACTTCTTCAATGTATCCAATTTTTAGTGTCCACTGATAGGCCAGTTGCTATGGCACATCTTATTGCCAACACATCTGTTTCCCAATTACCTGGAAGTGTAGATGCCTGTGGACAGGGACACGGGAAACAGTAACATCTGCCTCTGGCTTTTGCAAGTGAGCCCAAGTATCTTCCCACATCTCTTGTCCCTGTAAAGGTTTGCTCACAATTGTCCACTCCTCTGCCTGTCGTTGTCAGAGCCACAGATCCCTTCAAAGCAGACCAACTGTCAAAACCAGGGTCAGTGGCCAGGTTCTTGTGTGATTACCATGCAAACTACTCTAACTCAGGCCATTGGCTGCTGGGATTTTTCCTGTTTGCATTCAGATAGTGTCAGTGGGCCGCTGCCCAGTGACAACACCCAAGTAGACAGATTGCCTGGTTAGAGCCATGAGGCTCCAGCCAGCGTTTCCCCTCCTGTTTTTGCAGGTCCAGGGGCTGATACAGGGATGGGAGAATGAGCATTTGGAGGTTCTGTATATCCCACAGGACCTGGTAGCTGCTGAGCCCACTAGAGACAGGGCTGTGTACAGAGCGCTCCTCTGTTGTAGGTGGGCACGCTTTTCCTCAGCATAGGAGACTGAGCCGTGCCAGAGGTGGGTCCATGGAACATGTTGTTGATTCACCCCTTGATGGGAAGGGAAGTTCTTAGGGTAGCTGGCTTTCTACCGGGGTGTATCTGTTTTCTGTCCCCTCCCACAGTTGGGACCAAAATCTAAAGGGTATTCTTTCTTTTTGCCATAATGCCCAGCTCATGCCTCCAAGGGTTACGGAAACATCCTATTCAAACAGCAGCCCCACCTGTGCAATCCCCAGAGCTCATCTGTTAGACAAGCATTTTTGCTTTCTTAGAGACAGCCTAGTCCCACATATGTCCCTTCTTAGCCAGACATTGTAATGGGCAAAGGCATTGTGCTAAATGGGGTATAAACTTCACCAACACCACAGAATTTCCGTAAAAGACTGTACCTGTTTCACATTTTATGATCCTGGATAGGCTTGTAGTTTGTCCATGACAGCCTTGGGGACAAAGCAGGTCTTACCCAACCAAATGGTTTGGTTCCCCAGAACTTTGTTGTGGTGCCCAAACCTTGAATGCTCTGTAAATTCACTGCTTTATCAGTGGCCCCGGAAGGCCTGCGAGGTTTTCTTCAGCGGAGGCAAGTCTCATGGGTTCACATTTATGTCATCCCACAGAGGCTGTGAAGGAAATGATGACAGGTCCCTAGCCACCACCCCATGGCATGTGGTGGGGTGATGTGAGTAGCCTTCAGGGAGCACTCAGAAGGCACACCAGTGGGAAACACAGCTCTAACAGTGTTTTTGCTAACTCTGAGGATATTAGCTTTGTGGCAGGTGATGGCTTCCCTCCATCCAGAATATATACACGCAACAAGGACACTTGGACCACCCATCCTGACTGGCAGTTCAATGAAGTCCAGTTTAAATGCATTAGGAGGCATGAAGGAATGCAAAACATGAAACACGGGCTTGCCAGGGAGCCCAGAGAACAAGGCGGCCATCTGGGTTTCCCACAGCCCCAACTCTTCATTTAATTCACACCCATCATTTCCCCATCTTAGTGTCTGATCCGGGAGCAGACTGTAGCCATGTTATAGGACTGCAGGGTGGGAGAGTCTGGCCCTGAGGGGCTGCTTTTGCAAAAACAGAATGGGTTCCACCCACATGTGCCACTATGTGACACTCAGGTCCAGTCCTTTTAGTGTGACAATCAATTTTGATGACAGACTTCTTATGCCATGATGGCTCAGATTTCCAGGAATTTCACAAAATTTTTGGGACACTTATATACAAATTCAACATAAAGAAGGGTCAATGTTATTTTTTATTTGACAATGTTTCCCATGTAATTTCACTATTAAACAGGTAAGCCTAGTTTAATATTTTTCTTTTATAAGGAGAGAAAACAAATCTTTTAGGCATTCCAGGGGCCTCTAGAGTACCTCAAAGCTGTTTTAGGAAAAAGACTCTAATTTTGCATCAGATTACTCTTGATATTTAAATTCATGCACTTGATTAATTCAGCTTGACCACACAGAATTTCTTTTCTGAAGATTACTTTTTATAAGCATTCTACTATATAACTCCTTTTTAATATTCAGATATTAAGTGTGAATATTATATTTTGTCCTGTTTTTCCTCTTTCCATTCTGAAACAACCAGCCTCACTTTAGGACAAAATTACTTTCCTTTCTCGCAAAAATATTTTTTATACCTTTTCCTTCTTTTAACTGAAAGCATATATTTTCCTTTCATCTTAATTAGAATTCTTAAACCCTTAAATAACTCTAAGACATGTCTGTTCTACATAAGCCAACAAACTTAAACTAGCTTTTATTTGCTAAAGATTAATCTTGTATCATGTGACCTTGAAAAGCATTTGGGTTAGTTTCTACATTTCTTGGGATTTTAGACTAGCCAGTCTTTATATGTGTTTATTTGTTTTTTAAGCCAATTAAACACAGCTCATTTACAGATTAGCATACAATCCAGAGGTAAAAAATACCACACATCTGCAGCAATGGATGGACACATGTGAACATACAAATAGACGTAGAGACCTTGTGGGCTCCATAAAAGAAGTGGGATCTGCCCTGGTTGCATGGCTCAGTTGGTTGGAACGTTGTCCCATGTATGAAAAGGTTGTGGGCTTGATACTGAGTCAGCGTGCATACACAAGTTGCAGGTTCAGTCCCTGGTTGGGGTGCATATGGGAGGCAACCAAATGATGTTTCTCTCTCACATCTCTCTCTCCCTCTCTCTCACTCAAAATAAGTATGTCATTGGGTAGGGGTTAAAAAAAAAAGAAGTGCGACATAAAGAGACTTTCTTCCCTCCAAACTTTATCATCTAGTCCCAGTGAACAGAGTTGCAGACAATATTTTATTATCTTTTTCTAGTTTCAGTGCATCCCCTAATTTTCTAACCTGGCTTCTGCCTCCTGCTAGGTATTTGTGGCCAGCCAAACTGCCCATGAGAGGGGTCAGCTCTCAGCTGTGTCCATGTGCTTTCCTTCCTTGCCACAGCTAATGTGTAAAGCAAATTTCTTCAAACAAATACATAAGATCAGCTGGCATTTTCAGAGCAGTACTCCATGTACTCCCATGGGAGTCCACAGGTCTAGCATATTGGCCACTGGGCCCCACATGGATGTCATGGCTGACCTGGGATTTGTCCTGAGGATGCCTCTTTCCCAAGGTCCATTTCTTGGGTCTCCTGGCTGGCTCACCAATTATTACATGTAAAATTTCCTGGGGCTGAGAGACCAAAGAAAAGAATGAGAACCATTCTTTGCATCCATTATTGCATCAAGAGGTTATTGAGAGAACTTACAAAGGAGTGTCTTGCACAGTAGTGAGATGACATGGATATTCTTCACACTACATGACAGGTGCTAGGGGCTTATATAGGACAGGGCAGGGGGAGGGGGGAGGGGTACAGGGATGTGACCCAACCCAATAAGTGAAAATGCCTTGTATGCTTGCCTGAGGCAGGGCCACAGTCTGCTTTAAGAATCAGCATGCCTGGGGAATAGGGAGGGGTTGAGTAGACAGTCTCCTCTGGGGGAACTGCTGCAAGCCATCTCTTTATGGCCAGGATCTAGCCGGTGGTGGGTGGAGGAGCAGGCAGGCAGCCATCATGTCAAAAATAGTCTGTCCTCCACAGGGAGGGAAGAAAACATTGTGATTTGTATTGTTGGCTGATTCTAGTGGTGTAATAACATCCTCTGTAGCTAATTTCCAGCTACCACACATATGTCACCAAACAGGGACCTGGGAAGAGACATGCATAGTTTGGCATTAGTAGGCCAATAGCAGCTGGTTCCAGCATGCCTTAGATATTGCATTTCTAACAAGTTTCCTGGTGATGTAACCCTAACTGTACATTAGAAGCACATGGACAGTTTTTAAAAATTATTGACATTCACCCCTCCTCCCTGGACCAGTGAAATCAGGCCAGCTTTACTGGGATCCTGGCATCAGTGTTTTAAAAATGTTCCCCAGTGATTCTTACAGACAGCAAAATTTGAGAATCACCAACACAGAAAGGATGTATTAGAGTCTTTACGATCATTTGTATCTTCCCAAGCCATGCTTGAAGGCCATTGTGGGGCAGTGGGGTGCCATTTCTGTACTAATGGGTTCATTTTGGCTGTGTGCACCCAGACCTACGGGAGCCCCAACAAGAAGCACGTGGGCGTCATCCTGCAGAGGGGCGCGCTTGTCCTGCTTCTTTGCTGCTTCCCCTGCTGGGCGCTCTTCCTCAACACCCAGCACATCCTGCTGCTCCTCGGGCAGGACCCAGACGTGTCCAGGTAGGAGGGGTCCTGCCAGGGTGGGAGTAGAGCCATTTCAGCAGAGAGATGCTCCCATGCAAGCTTAGCCTCTGGGAATTACCAAGGCCAGGGCCAGGGCCACACTGCACAAGGGGCTCAGCTGTCCTCAGCTGACTCCGAGCAGGCTGTGGTGCTTTCCCCCCAGTGGCACCTCACTCTAGACCCTTCCACACTGGGTGACTTCAGGGTGGATAGTTTTGAGAGAAATAAGATTTGAAACAGCCTTCATGTGAGATGGTTGTTTGTGGTGTTTATTTGTGGTTTTGTGATTATTGTGCCACGGTATTAAATCACCTTGGTGCTTTTAAAACCCATCCCCACCTGGTCCTCCTTCCCTCCCAACACTGTCGTAATTGGTCTGGAGTGTGGCTTTGACATCGGTGTCTTTCAAAGGTCACTTGGTGCTTCTAATATGCTGCCCAGTTTAAGACCCACTGGCTTAGTTGATAAAGACCTTTAAAATCCTTGTCTTAGACCAGTGGCTCTGAGCCCAGGGGATATTTGTCAATGTGGGTGGTCATTTGTGGTTATCAGTGCTGGGGCATCAGTACTGGGAGAAGCCCGAGGTGCTACAAACCATCTCAGGGCACACAGGAGAGTTTCCCATAGCAGAGAATTAACTAGCTTGGTGCTGAGTTTGAAAAATGCTGTCTTAGACATAAAGCCTTGGAAGAAGCAAGAGAGGTAATTTGGGTTATGAGATGACAGGTGCTATTATAAATTTTGACATTTGCTCCAGAAGTTAAGTTCATTAATTTGGAAGAGCCACGAATGTGAAAGGCAGTGACAGCTAGTTCATCCTGCCCTCCCTTCCCTTGAAATGAGGTCCTTCATCACCTTTTTTCTCTTTATTGTGTAGGCTCACCCATACCTATGTCATGATCTTCATCCCAGCTCTTCCTGTAAGTTTTCAAGGGCCAAGCGATTCCCTTCTTGAGGCACACTGATGAACGGCAGCTGAGGCACCCGGGAGCTCAATGATTAGTCGGATCGGCTTCACATGATTCCCATGTGTGGTGTTGGATCATTCAGGAAAGGGTGGTTTTAATTATGCCTGTGAAAGACACCAGTGTTTGTCCCTCAAGAAACACCAAGGTTAAGGTGACTCCAGGAGGCCACTGTCCTGAACTCCTAAGCTGGAGGGACCTCTGGGATCATCCACGGAGAGGAGTTCAGACTCTTGTCCTGCGTAGGGCTAAGTTCTTCTGCATCTCAGAATACCTGAAGGCCTCACTCTGAACCTTTAGAAAGTTTTTTTTTCTTCTTGAATATGATCAAACAAAACCATAAGTGTGTGTCAGTGTTTGACACAGACATGTGTGGTCAATGAACAGTCTAAGCTGATATTATTCAGTTGGACGTGGTGGCTGGACAGTTAAGTGCTGCATGATATTTTGGACAGACTGCATATCCAATGGTGGTCCTGTAAGATTATAATGGAGCTTCATGGGCAGAAACGAACTTTCCTTTACCCTTAAGGGTCTTCTGGCCAGTCAAATAATGAAATAGACACAAGACATATTAGCAAGAGAAAATAAGCAAATTTAATACATACTGTGGATGAAAAGCGTCCACATACTCAACTTGACAAGCTCAAGGCCCCTTCCTGGCTGTCTTACAAACTCAGAGACCTAAAGTAACCACACAGGATAGTCTGAAAGTAAAACTTTTTAACTAAAATCAAGTTATGGTGGGTGGTCATGTCCTAGGCTAGAATCTTCCCCGACAAAGATCAATCTTTAACTCAGCCTGTCTGTTGTCTAATTGCATCTATGATAACAGACCTTTGGAAAGTCAGTGTACTCCCATTCTTGGCAGACCCCTCAGGGCACAACCTCCCACGAGAGCAGGAGACCACAGAGCCTCTCACTGTTATCTTGTTCTTCCACGTACCATCTCTATGTTGGTACGTGGAAGAACGTACCAACTGCTAACTGTCCTGCACCCACCCATGTGAAAGAAGTATGTGTCTACCTGGTTTACCTTCTGTTTGATCCCAGAAGTTTTCCCACTTTGCTTTTCCTGGTCACTTCCAGTAACTGCCCCTCCTCACCTGCTGCCAGTATGTTCTTTTGTCTTCAGCTCGAGATGATATTTAAGGTGGTAGCTTCAGCCATTTTGGCGAGTTACTCAGTTTTCCTGGGTCTCTTCCGTGTATACAGGAGGTATACATGTTATTAAACTGTTGTTTGTTTTTCTCCTGTTAATCTGTCTTTCACTACAGGGATGGCTCGGCCAAGAACCCTAAAAGGTAGAGGAAAATGGTTCCTCCTCCCCTATAGAGCACTAGGCTATACCATGTCACCTAGGTGTGTGGTGGGCTACACAGCCCAGGCGTGTGCAGGTGTACTCTGTGATGTTCACACAAGGACAGAGTCACCTAAGGAGGCATCTCTTAGAACACATCCCTGTGGTTAAGCAGTGAATGACTGAACTCCTTTGCTGGGGCTGTCCTAACAAAATACACAGAGTGGGTGGCTTAAACACAGAAATCTGTTTTCTCGTTGTTTTGGAAGTGGTAAGTCCAAGGTCAGGGGACCACAGGGATGGCTTCCTCTGAGGCCTTTCTCCTCAGCAGGCTGACAGCCCCTCCTTGTACACACCCTTTGTGTCTCTTGTCTGCTCCTGAGCATACCAGGCCACTTGGACCAGGACTCATCCTAATGGTTTGATTTCAACTTAATCACCTTGTTAAAGGCTTTATCATCTCCAAATACGCTCACATGGTGGGTGGTTAGGGCTTTAACATATGAATGGGGGCAGCACAATTCAGCCCTTTTAGGTAGCCATCTGCTCTCATAATTGGTATCGTGGCCTTTAATTTATTCTGAGATCTTAAAAGTTTAATATTCTTTAAGTATCACCACAAAGGACTGTAGCCTAGTCTACAAAAGGAGGTATGCCCTAGAGTTTGCCTGGGGCTTCCTTTACAGCCTGCTTCCTGCAGAAAGGTCCTTGCCGCACAGACAAGGCATTCCCAGAACCCAGGGTTGGGACACCCCAGCTGTACAGACCCTGGCCCCCACCCCCAACCCCTCCTCAGATGACATCCCTTGGCAGGAGCAAAGGACAATCAAATAGAGGATGTCAGCTCTGTTGGCATGGCCAGGCCAAAATGTTAACACACATCTCTGTTGTTCTCTTGTAGGCAACGTTTCTTTATACACTGCAGGTTAAATATTTGTTCACTCAGGTAATGCAGGCCTTCTTTCTTCTTGGGGGCGGGAGGCTAACTGGAGTTTACAGCTTTCAGGAGTTGGGGGCCTGGAAAGTATTCAGAGGTAAGGAAGACGGGAGCCCGAGTTACTGTGATGTTTCCCCATGTTGCACACGCAGGCCTTTGGTGTGGAGAGGTCTGTGAAGTGAGATATTAAACACACACACACACACACACACACACACATTTGCCCTGGCCAGGTGGCTCAGTTGATCATCCCATACACTAAGGAGTTGAGGGTTCAATCCCCCGTCAGGGCATGTAGGAAGGCAATGGATTGGTGTTTCTCTCTCTCTCTCTCTCCACTCCCCCATCCCCTTCCTCTCTCTCTCAAATCAATAAATATCCTTGGGCAAGGATTTTTAAAAAGACACATTATTACTGGCCTTGGAAAATTCTTATGGGATCCCCACTTGGAAATACTGCCTTTGGCAGGAGGGGCTGGAGCATAGCATGTCCTGGCTTTGTGAGGTCAGTGGCTACCTGGGGGTGAGAGCCCAGCTGTCAGCTCTGGCCTGTCTGAGGAGGCCCCGCACTCAGCTCCGCAGTGGGGGTGGGGGGGGGGGTGAAATCCCAAACTGTAACAAGACCTCACATCAGCCAGAGTTCTTCTCACATAAGGGGTGAACTACCCTGCTAGGTAGTTGTGGCTTCGTGAGGCCAGCATGTAGGTAGTGGGTTTTCTCCCAGATGAGTCCTTGCAGGTAAGAGGCTTAGCAGTGGGCTGTGGCCTTACCAGCAGGCTTGCAGGACTGTGACAGCAAGGGAAGGGGGTTAAGTGAGCGGGGGCGGGGGGGGGGCGTTTCCACCTATGTAATATTAATTAAATTAAGATGTTACCCTATCAATACAACAACATTTCAAATCTCTATTAGTACCACAATTACAGGCTCGAAATGTCTATAAAGAGGGGGAATCAGCATGTCTGAGCCCTGCACCATCTGTGGAGTGTATAACCTTGTTGGCAGCTGTGTAGAAGTTCCAGCACATTGTGGGGCCTTCCCCGGACACTGTCTCCCCAAACACGGAGCCTCCTAACTGTGGGCTCTAGCCTGGTCTAGTGAGGAAAGTGGATGCGAACACCCCTCTCCAGTACTCTGAAAAAGAAGGAAAGACCCAGAAGTAGGAGCTGTGAGTTGAGGGGAGTTGGGAGACGTGTGCCGGGTGATGAAGGGTTTCCGTGGCTGGGAGGAGGCATGGGCATCAGACCCTGTGGGCAGCAGGAATTGGTCAGGGAGGAGGGACATGCAGAGGCTGGCGGAGGCCACATTGTAGGGGGAGGGACGTTGTAGGCAATGGGGCTGGCCGAGGGTCAGCACATGCAGGGTCTGTGTTGTTTGCTTTGGATTTTAGTTTGTGAGAAACAAGTTAGTTGCCAGGGAAAGGGAGAAGAGTCATGTACGTGGTCCAAACAAAAGATCATGCGTGTCTGTGATGGAGAAAGAATTGCCCTGCAGGAGCAATGGGGCAGGATGGGGTTGGTCCTGTGGAACGAAGAGACCTCGGGAGGAGGAGGAGATGCATGTCAATAGCTTCTATCTTGGAGGCCTGGCCTGTTTGTAAGAGCACGACACAGGAGACACAGTTGGTTTTTTGGAGAAAGTCAGTGCTGTAGGAGAGGGCACAAGGTGGGAAGAGAACCCGATGAAACCTGGTGGGATGCTTAGATTTTTGAGGGGACAGTGAGAAGGAGAAGGCGACTTGGCCAGCCTCCCCTCCTCTCCTCTCCTCTCCCCTCCTCTCCTCTTCGTTGGAGAGAAGCTCTGTTCTGGTGTGTGCCCGTTCCCATCTGTATTCCCTCGACACCACCTTTATGTGTCTGACCTCCTGGCATTCCTTCCCACTGGCTGGAGGGACCCATGCATATTACACACTTGACTTGCCCATCATCCCACATAAGTCTGCTCCTCCACTGTCCCACATTCTTTCTCAATCAGCTGCCATTTCTCTCCCACTAACCTGTCCTTCATACATTCCCACTATCAGTGACCCCATCTTTTTCTTCACTGCCATCTCCAAGTAGTCACTGGGCCCTGCAGGTCCTCCCACCCCTGTCCCTCCCCTTTGTCCCTGCCTTGTTCCTCTCATTCTTTCCCCTCTGGATTACTTTGGCAGGATCTCACCTCATATCCCCACGACCAGTCTTTCCTTGGCTGAGTCACACACTACACTACTTCTTTTACCCTCCTTCTGAAATGCACATCTGACCACCTAACTCCCTTGCTTAAAACTAACCAGGCTCTCCTGATAAGTAAGTGACCCACATAAATAGTTGGCCAAGACCCTTGTCCTGGCCCCTGAGCCCAAAACCACTGAGACCACCAGAGACAAGCCTACAGTTCAGCAGTCAGGTTCTTCAACCCACAGCACTGAGTGGTCAGAGGGGCCTAGGATATTCTCATCAAACGAGGCGGGATGGAGTTCAGATGACATCTAAAAGAAGCTACGTAGGCTCACAGCAAAGCAGGCTGTGAGTAAAGGGATTTATACTTGGTCTGCACGCTGTCCTCTCAGGTCCTCCCTCCTTGGAAATCACAGTTTAGGTCACAGGTGGCAAACACAAGGCCTGTGGGCCGAATCTAGCCCTCTACCTTGTTTTATCCGGCCCAGTACCTTGTTTCTTCTACTCGGTGGCAGCGCTGAGCTCTTTGCCCCTAGTTTAGGAGTAGTTACATTTATACAGTCCTAAAATTACATTCGGCCCTTTGAAGGCAACCGAGAGGCTGATGCGGCCCCTGGCGAAAATGAGTTTAGCAGCCCTGGTTTACATGGATGTCAATTGCTGTGTCCAGGAGTTCATGTGAAGCTTTGTACCTGGGTTGGAAATCGAGGCTCTGTGTGTGTGTGAGAGAGAGAGAGAGAGAGAGAGAGAGAGAGAGAGAGAGAGAGAGAGAGAAACTGACTTCAATCCTCTAGGCAAGAGTGGGATGTTTTACTTTTACTGATATGATTTCAAATAGCAAGATTTCTTACACTTAATGGTTTTAGAGAACAAAGTTTCTCAGAGTAAGAAGCAGTAGTCATTCAAAGCAGGGAGTGAGCCCTGGCTGGGTGGTTCAGTTGGTTGGAACATTGTCCCCTTGCACCAAGGTTGTGGGTTTGAACCAGGTCAGGGCACAGTCAGGAAGCAACCAATAATGCATAGATAAATGGAACAGCAAATCAGAGTGATGTTTCTCTCTCTTTTCCTTCCTCTCTCTCTCTAAAATCAATTAAAATATTTTTTAAAAGATTTTATTTATTTATTTTTAGAGAGGGAAGGGAGGAAGATAGAGAGAGAGAGAAACATCAATGTGTGGTTGCTGGGGGTTATAGCCTGCAACCCAGGCATGTACCCTGGCTGGGAATCAAACCTGCGACACTTTGGTTTGCAGCCCAAGGTCAATCCACTGAGTACGCCAGCCAGGGCTCAATTAAAATATTTTTAAAAAGAGAGAAGGGCATAAGATGACACTACGGGTGGGAGAAATAGTGTTTCTTATTAATTTCACAGCTGGCCTTACCTATGTCTGTTATATCCTGATGCATGGCAAGCTAGCTATTTATTTCCTAAGTCCAATACCATTGTCTTAGTCTTAGTTTGAGATACCAAATAAGACAGAGTGTTTAGCCCCTGTACTTCTGAGCAGAGCCAGATATGATGGCATACAGTCCACACTCCAGCTTCATAAGCTCTTCAGTCAAGTTTCCAAATTTCAATTTAGGTTGAGGAATGCATTGTACTTTTACCCACAGGCTTGTTTATACTTTTTAATCCCTGCTGGCATGTGCACACTTGTCTTCTTTCCTCTCTGCTGCCTTCTCATCTTCCCATGCCTACTTCAGGCCAAAGCTATACCCCTCATGGCTCAGAGAGAGGAGGAAGTGAGGGGTGGGGAGGGTGGGAGGTTAAGGCAGCAAGGACAGGGCACCCACAATTAGGACAGCCTAAAGTATGTTTGGAGAGAAAATGGCCCTCCCATTCCAGGGATCTCCAGCAGGGGGCGGTCTCTCCTCTTTGTAGGGAATCGTACTGCCCCAGATTCTAACTGGACTTGCTGCCAACCTTGTCAATGCCCTCATCAACTATCTGTTTCTCCACCAGCTGCATCTTGGGGTGATGTGAGTCCAACTAATTTTGGGGACCAAGAAGAAATGACCTGCATGTGGCTCTTCCAGGGAGGTGGGAGAGAGTGAGACCTTTATCTAGTCACTGTGGGCACCTGTGGTCTCCTCCTTGGGCCGCTCTGGAAAACCTGGCTGGGGATGGGGAATAATGCTGCATTGGAAAGAGGATGATCACGGAACCTACTGTAGCCACTCCAGCGAGGGATGGGTGCTCACCTTGCTAAGCGAGCCGAGGAAGGGGTGGAGAACGGCACCTCCCTCACTGGACTGTTCTTCCCAGGGGCTCAGCACTGGCAAATTTGATATCCCAGTTCTCCCTGGCTCTGCTCCTCTTTCTCTACATCTTCTGGAAGAAACTGCATCAAGCTACCTGGGGAGGTAAAGGCTGCCTTTTGTTTGTCCAATTCAATATGGTTTTGTCAGGCCGATGGCTGGTGGACTGTGACTGTACCTGTGCCCCACCTGCAGGGTGGTCCCTGGAGTGCCTGCAGGACTGGGGCCCCTTCTTCCGCCTGGCCGTCCCCAGCATGCTCATGCTGTGCATCGAGTGGTGGGCCTACGAGATCGGGAGCTTCCTGAGCGGTCAGTGTGGGGCCAGCCAGTGGTGGCAGTGGGGAGTGTGGGGCCAGCCGGTGGCTGCAGTGGGGAGTGTGAAGCAGGACATCAGCTGTGTCTCTCCCTCAGGCATCCTCAGCATGGTGGAGCTGGGAGCCCAGTCCGTCGTGTACGAACTGGCCACTGTTGTGTTCATGGTGAGTGTCCAAGACCAGTCGTGTGGAGGTGCTAACTGTGTCTCTTGAAAGAGCCCTAAGGTGAGTGTAGGGTTTCTGTGGAACATTTGGTCGTAATCTGTGAAATGATTCAAGAAGGTAAAATTTTATCCTAGAATCTGAGAGGACCCTTTTGGTTTGGAGGAGTCTTCCTGTGAGCTGAATGGGCTTGGGGAGAGTCTCTAAATTACTCATTCAGTGCTGGTCTCCCATGCCCCCACATGGTTCAAACCGGAAACACTTCACTTGACAAATAGTTGCCACAATGCAAATGCCTTGAGGGCAGGTGGGGCATAAAGGGGGACGGTGGTGGGTTTCTGGTAGTAGGGCTGAGCCCCTGTGTCTCACCATGCTCTGCTCCTGCCTCGGTATGATGCCTCTTAAAACTTGGTGTGACTGCTCCTGGGTTGGACCCAAAAACCTAAAAAACAGCGACAGGAGCAGGTGTGCACACCTGTGTTCATAGCAGCATCATTTATGATCCCCCAAAGGTGGAAACAGCCCAAGTATCTATCCACGGCTGAATGGCTAAAGAAGCTGTGGTCTATCCACGCTGTGGAGTACTCACTCAGCCTTGCAATTGAGGGATGTTGATGTGCTAGAGAAGAACCCCACTAGTCAGAGGCTTTCTTTTTTACTTTGTTTTATTGAAAATGTCAGCTGGAAGTTCTGAAGGGCTTTCTTCCCTAGCTAGCAAGTGTCATTCAGAATCAAGGTGAAAGGTGGGATAGAAAGGGAGCATGGGCTGGGGAGAGGGACTGAGGCCAGAGCATGTGCTCTGGCACTGTTTGTTGTGCTAACACTCAGACCCCTGGCCCCCAAACTTGTTATATTTTAAAGTACATAGATATGAATTTTTGTGTTTTTTTTTTCAAGAATCATTTTCTTGAGAGGGGAAGGGAGGGAGAAAGGGGAGAGAAATATTGATTGGCTGCCTTTTGCATGCCCCACAACCAGGGACCTGGCCCGCAACCCAGGCATGTTGGGTTGTCCCATCAAATTGGAGACCTTTCAGCTTGCAGGATGATGCCTAACACACTGAGCCACACCAGTCAGGGCTGTTTCAATGTCATTAATAACACTTCAATGAACATCTTAGGAGAAATATCTTTGTATACTTGCTTGATTATTTCATTAAGACAAATTCAGTTTTAAGTCTTTTGCATACTGTATATTGTTATATGATTTCTAATAAGCTTATAAGAATTTACATTTATGTTTCTCCATAATCAAAAGATTTTTACCCTTTACTCATATTAACCCATTATTTACATTTCACCACATATGCTTGCCTTCTGTCTCCCTCTCCACAGTTTGTATTCAAAGGCCATCCATTGTTCTGATAATGTCCTTTATAACTTGACTCCCCCTGGCCTCTTTAGTGTATCTAGGGTGTTGCCTCTTTAGTGTTCTTTAATCTAGAACAGACCCTGGGCCTCTCTTTGTCTTTTTTGGACCTTCATCTTTAGAAGAATAGAAGCTATTATATACAGGCTTTCTCTCAATTTGTTATTGCTGATACGTCCTCATGAACGAACACTTTCCAACTCTACAACTGATGTGGATTTTATATAATAGGTGGTTAGACAGGTATGTTTAAGGTAGGAACAATAAGCCAGGTATGAGAACTCACCAGGGCGGAAAGACCCAAGTGTCTAAATTGTAGGGTAGGACCTTTCTTCTGCCAACATAACAAATATCCCAATTGTAGAGCAGGTTTGGTGAGTTTATTTGAGTCAAACTGACAGTAATTGCTGGGAAGCAAAATCTCAACAAACTGAGAAATGCTCCAGAGAATGGCAGCTTAGCACCTTACTTTATACATTCCAAAGGGAGAGACATAAAGGAGTTACATGAAATCTGCTGGTGATAGATTAGGGATACAGGAGAAAGCAAAGTGGGAGAAACTTCTGGGATTGGTTCAAAGGTAAAATGATAGACTCACACTTCTTTTACATAGGTGGGTGCAGGATAGTTAATACTCAACAATTAACTTGATAACAAGGAGGGGATTTGTGGTCTCAATTTATACCCAAGGGGTTTGGAAAAAGGGAAGTTACTTTGACATTCCAAAGGTGTGTCGTCACAGATGCAAAAAGACAACAGACAGGCTCAGTTAGGGTGAAGATTGACCTTTGTTAGGGAATAATACTGGCCTAGGCCATGGCTACCCTCCATGAACTGGTTTTACTTAATAAGTTTTCATTTTAGACCATCCTTTTTGCTTACTTTAGGTGTCTGAGTTTGTAAGGCTGCCTTGCAGGGCTCCCCTGAGCTTGGCTCCTTTTTGTCCACATGTCCCCTATGTATCGCTGGTCATGTACTTTATATTCCCTGACTTTTCATATTGCTGGTCATGTGGTATAGACTGTACCATAGCCTTTTCTTCCCAGGATTGTCACTGGTCATGTGGTATATACCCTTAGAGGAGGAAAAAGTGCTGCAGATGGAGATGGGCCCAGGTTCTTGGTGCTTGCAAGCAAAGAATTGGATTGACCATACACATATTATAAAGTAAAGCCAGTGGGAAATTTATTAAGGAAAGTACACTTCCCAAGACATGGGAGCAGGCCATCTCTGGCCAGGGAATGGCCCTCTTCTACTAAATGACTACAGACTTATAGGGTTTTTACTTAAGCTTCTACACAGGAGCTTTGTATTTCCCACGATCCTCTTTGATTGCCCAGTTGGGGAGAAAACCACAATACTAATTATTGTCAGGTGTCAGAAGGCGATTCTTGGAAGCCAGGATGCTGACTGATGACAGCTGCAGTGTCTCAGGGTTTCCTTTTCTATCTCTTGCCTCATCTTCCCCCTGAGAGACATGGGGTTGCTGAGGGTGGATGGTCAATCTTCTGTTTATACTTCCTGCTGGAATAGGACAGTAGACCCTGCCTGCTGAAAATCATGAAACTTTTGCCTTAACTTATCTAGAGGTTGGAGAGAAATTCCTGAGATCAGCGTGGGCTCTATGTGTTGTAAGGTGTTAGTATTGCATTCCTTAGGGATTGGTCAAAAACCCTGGAGCTTCATCATCCTGATGTGGAATTGTTTGAGTATCAAAGATAAAAATTAAGATGAAAGGGCCAGAGATTAGAATTATTATAATAAACCAAGTTACTGAGGGAATGTATCCTTTAATGGTATCCCAGATAGTTTCAGGGTTACTGGGATACAATCTTTTTAGCCATATTGCTTGCTGTAATATTTTATCATCACTCATTTCAAGAAGTATTGGCTAGAGTGCAAACCCCACCTTCCTGGACCAACAAGCAACATACTTAAAAGTCCAGTTGGGTTCCTGGGCTGGCAAGAGTACTTTGAGGCTCAGATTATGTGTTCAGGAAGATTAGGATTAGTTCATTTGGCCCAAAGTACTCCTAGGGATATTCCTCACTCACTGTATTGTGGTTGATGATGGCAAACCTAGCAACTGTTACACGTATTGCCCCAGAGAAAATCCTGGGTAATTTGTAACAGAGTTATTGGCCCAAGAAGGACTAGCAAGAATGCAGATTGTTAGCAAAAAGAGGTCATATTGACTTATCTTTAAGGTTTCTTCTTCTTGAACAGGGTTTGAGGTCTTCGTAGCAATAGTATAGGACATTGTGGAATAATCAGGCTTTCAAATTGACAGGTGACGGGGTGTGTAAAAATAAGTTCAAGATTTTTCTTCAATGCCCATAATATTAATTGAATTAGAGGAGAGAGGTCTAGTGTAAGAACTAGAACAGAGTAAGTGGCCCCAGTATCAACAAGAAAATAAATTTTCTTACTTGACACATCAAGGGTTACCTGGGGTTCCTCTGAAGAGATTAAAGTGCTGGTATAGGCTGGGTAAACCTGTTCCCGGGCACCCTCCATCCTCAAGGGCTCCATAGCCTTAGGTGATGACCCCTTGCCACTCTGGCAATGGGCAATGGGGGTGGTCTACCTGCCAAGGCCAGGAGACAGGGTTTGCGCCTTTGCCCATGGGGCATGACCCTGGGGGTGGCCTAGTGCAATCCCTTGCCCAGTGTCCAGGATGTTTACACTTAAAGCATGTTTGATCTTTTTGCCCTTGGTGTTTCTGTGGCTTTCCTGGGTCACCTTGTGGTGGCTGGACACTGCCAACAGTGCTGCTAATAGCTGGTGCTATTAGTTTGGCCTGTTTTTCTGCCCCTGCTTTTTCTCACACTGGCTCTGTTCTTTCTTGTCCTAATTAGACTCTATGTTTCAGGCCTCTTCCTAAAGTTGTTGCTTTTCTTCTGGAGAGCAACAGGTGGTCAGGGTTATATAAAGGTCTTTCTAGGACACATCAAAGGCAAGGGTTAAAATTTGGAAGTTACTAGTGAAGTATGAGGGATCTTTGGAGAAGTTTCATAGTCTTATCTTTGTGCTGCTGTAGGCCAGTTATTGAAAAGGATACACGTACCCAAACGGAGTCTTCTATGCCTGTTATTTCCCTCTGGGGTAGGAGGGCAGGAGCAGTGGGGAGATAGGAAGCCCCACTAGAGCATGCCCTGGGGGCTAGGTTTCTGGTAGTAGGTGGGAGAGAAGTTAATTTCTCTGAGGTGGGAGCAGAGATTCAGGACTCTGGGGCCTACTTGGTTCCCCTTGAGACACAGGTGGGGAACTTAGAGGGGGTCATCTAGAATGTCATTGTTGATCCCTCAAGGGGCTGCTTCCCTTGGCCCAGAACAGAGGGCTGGATTGCAATACAGTGCTGTAAAGGCTTGAACATTGGGAATGTCTTGCCATTTGCCTAACCTCCAACAAAACAGGTCTAACTGGAATATGGTGTTGTAATTGCTGCTCCCATTTTCAGGCCAAATTTCCCCATCTCCTAGTTTATACTGAGACTAAGCCATATTTCAAAAGATTAGCCTCTCTTTGTTGAGATTTCAAGGCCAAATTTTCCCCAGTTTCTAAGAATGCATCCCAATGGGGATCCTGAGGGAATGGAGGGTGTATTGCCCATCTTGTCCATGGAATACTTAGGGAAAAGAAGAAGAGAGTAGCACTTCCTGGCTCCCTAGAGGCATCCCCCTTCCTTTGCCTAAAGAGTTCCCTAGTGGGTTATAGGGTGTCCCCTGTTATCCTACCATTGTAGGCCTCCAGATGTCTCTGGTGAAACCAAGAGAGTTTGAGTGTGCCAGCCAGCAGGAAAAAAACTGGAGTTGTTATGGACTAATTTTTTGTACCTCCTTCCTTGTATCTAATTCTCAGGCCTCGGCTAAGATGGTGATGGCTTGTCTTGTAAAGAGTCTAAGATGTAGGGAGGCGACTGTGCCAGTCATTGAAGCACTTCCCAAGACCAAAAGAAAACCTGCTATTAAAGTACCAGAGAAGTCATTGATGAACTCAAACTACTGTATTTTGCCATGTATAGTGCGCAATCAGGTTTTAGTACTAGTTCCCATGTATAATGAGAATCAGTTTTACCCATGTATAAAGCACATTCTTATTTTTCCCTCAAAAACTTGGGCAAAAAAGTGTGCATTGTACATGGCAAAATATGGTAGTTTCCTCTGCTCCTCATAATTGATTAACTCTTAACTAATTTCCTCTACTTTATATTTGATTAACTTTCCTCTGCTCATAATTGACTAATTTGAACTAGTTCCTTCTGCTCCTCTGCTTCTAATAATTAATTCCTCTGAAGAGGGGGCAGGAGCATTCTAGTTTATCTATTTTACAAACCTAACATGGGTTGGGAAGGCCTCCAAAAGTATTTTGAAATGGTCACCACCTTGACCTATGTTCAGTAAAGGCAATCACTTTGATTGCAGAAGAGACAGACAGGGAAGAGGTGCAAATAGAGACCAAAATTAAATGTGTGAAGCAAGTCTTAGGAGGAACGTGGTTGGCTAAGTAAAGGAGGGAGGTGCAGCTGGCAACCCTTTCCGAGAGTTACAACAGTCCGGAATGGAAAGCCGTGGGGGAGGGATGATGTTGCTTTACAGCGTGCCTCAGTGCGTAGATGTTGCCATGTGCCTGGCAGGAAGCTGATCTCTAACCCTGATCCACAACCAGGTAATCCTCACATGGAGTCTTTTAAGTGGCGGGTGCCATTTTGGCTCTTAACTGCCAGACCTGTGCCCGTAGGAAAGTGGCAAACTCTCTGCAAGGTGCCGGGGTCACTCAAGGCATAAAATAAAGGAGACAGAGAGTATGGAAGTCTCCTCCAACCACTGGGGAGGGTGGAAGGGGTTGCCTTACCACTCTGGCATTTCCACAGAAGTTCTCCTGGCTGGCTTGCCAGATTGCTGCAGATGGAGATGGGGTCCAGGCTCTTGGCGGTCAAGAACAAAGAATTAGATTGACCACACAGATATTGTAAAACAAAGCAGGTAGGAAATTTATTAAGGAGAGTACATTTCCCAAGACATGGGAACAGGCCATCTCTGGCCAGGGAATAGCCCTTTTTTATTGAACAGTTACAGGCTTTAAAAGTTTTTTACATTCTCCTTGACTGCCCACTTGGGGAGGAAACCACAGTGCTAATTATTATCAGATGTCACCAGGTGATTCTCAGAAACCAGGATGCTCACTGATGACATTTGCAGTGTCTCAGGATTTCCTATTCTATCTCTTTCCTCACAGGTGAGATAGAATAGTTTCATACAACTGCCGTACAAGCCCTTGCATGACCGCTCCCTTAAGCATTAAGCCCTAGAGTTACCATCTAGGCCTCAGTTGTGATTCAGCTCCAAGCCCAGAAAAACAGCAAACCCAGGTCTATTGATGCCATGGCTGATATCAGGAACAGCTATGATGCCTAATGACCCCCTGCCCTGGCACTGACCAATGAGTGGAGACTGTGGCTCTGAAAGGACACACCTGGAGAGCTGATGAATATTATATAAGATCCTCTGCTGGGACCTCTAGAAAAAAACCCTCAAAACAAAGGACTCAGCTCATGTTCCCTCCTCTCTCTGGCATGCCCACACCTCCCCACTACCCCCCTCACTGGAGCATGCCCGCAAACTTCCCCACTCTTCTTCCCCTGGGTGCATTACTTTTTGCCTTTCTCCTAAGCTCCAGGGACCTCCTGCCCGCTTTTTTTTTTTCCTCTGTAAATTGTTTCCTGAGCCCATGCAGTCCAGCTGGCTCACTTCTTCCACAACTCACTTAATTCTACCTCTGAGACTTTCTAAATAAACTTTCTCTTACAGTTGAGTTCCTTAGCTCTAAACTCTTTCCCAGCTGAACTCAAAAACTAAGGTTTCTGAACCAACATCTAACATCTGGTGCCATTTTACCATTCACAGATTTGTCCCGTTATTAGTGATATCAACTGATTGCTTGGTTAAAGCACTGCCCACCAGGTTTCTCCACCATCAAGTTACCCTTTTTCATTGTGGTTAATACTTTGTTGGGAGACTCAGATTTTCTATAGCCCTGACCTTTAGCAATCCTGGTCCTAAGGCAAAACTCGTGTTTAAATACTTGATGACTCTTTTTTCTTAATACTAATTTCTCAGGTAATAATTTTTTAGATAATAGTAATGGATAATCTGTACTGAACAACTTAGTATGTGTGAGGCATTATTCTAAGTAGTTAGGATGTATGGACTCATTTAATTCCAACAATAATCCTAATATGCATGTACTATTATTACGAGGTCCCTTTTGCAGATAAGAACTAAGGTGTAGTGAGGGTAAGTACCTGGTCAGGGTCACACAGCCAATAGGTGGCTGAACTAGGATTTAACCCAGACAGTCTGGCTTCAGAATTCCCACTGCTAACCACCGTGCCATACTGCTCACCTGCATCTCCTTTACCACCACCTCTGCCCTCACCAAAAGGGTAGCACTGCTAACAGCTTGTATGCACCTTTCTGTTTTTTTTTTAAATTTTTAAAAAAGATTTTACTTATTTTTAGACAGAGGGGAAGGGAGGGAGGAAGAGAGGGAGAGAAACATCAATGTATGGTTCCCTCCTACATGACCTCCATTGAGGACCTGGCCGGCAACCTGGGCATGTGCCCCAACTGAGGACCGAACCTGCAGCACTGACTAAGAATCAAACCTGTGACCTTTCGGTTTGCAGGATGACACCCAATCAACTGAGCCACACCAGCTGGGGCAGTTTTCTTAAGTTCTTTTTATCCAATATTTGTGGGAGTGGTGTCACCATAGAAGGTTCTGTCTTCTAAACTTGCTCCTGTGATGGCCTTTTGGAACAGATCTATGGTGGGCTCCTGGAATCCCATCCTTCCACACCCAGAGGGCGAATCAACTGTGCAGGGTCTCCCATGGCCCAGGTTGGAAGCTCTGTAGAAAAAGCAGGTTTGCGACAAGGATCCCAGCCCAGGATTCCAGGTTCCATGTTAGCCTGGGGACTCCCAGCTAGACAAAAGAATATTGCAAATTAGTTTCCTTACAACTTGTAGAGCCAAGTTTTACCAGTGAGGTGTGAAGCACAATTTACCTAGTCCCTCTTTTCTGGGGAAGGTGTATGGTGTGGCTCAGGACAGAGCTGAGAGGCAAGGCTGCTTCCTTGCTCCCTGCTCTCATAATGTGAGCATTGTTTTCTTTTTCCTTTAGATACCTACTGGCTTCAGCGTGGCTGCCAGTGTCCGCATTGGGAATGCGCTGGGTGCTGGAAACATCAAGCAGGCCAAGAGGTCCTCAGTCGTCTCCGTGCTAGTCACAGGTGCTTCAGCTCTTTAGTCAGTGACTCATCTGAGCAGTCCATGCACTTGAAACCCGGGTTCCTTGTTCCCTGCAGACCTCCTTTCTCACTGTGCTGCTTCTCTGCCTTTTTACCTCCAGAACTCTTCGCTGTAGTCTTTTGTGTCCTGCTGGTAAGCTGTAAGGATCTTGTGGGGTACATTTTCACTACTGACCGGTGAGTGCTGAGATTTTCTTGAAATATGAATCTGTGGTAAAGAAATGGTCAGGCAGATGCTTTCACATTTGCCTGCTGGGGTTTTTGCATCTTGAGGGGTTCTGATTTCATTTGCAAAATCAAACTCACTGATGTTACCTGGAAAGAACTGATTAGGTACAGGGACTAATTTGTAATCTAGAGTGCCAACTTAATGGGCATTGGTGGTGTTATAGGTTTCTGGTGCTCAGGATACTCAAGTATTTTAAGGAAGGGAACTCAGTTTTGGTACCATTGATTACATGTTCAGTTAATTATTTTATTCCAATGACAAAAATCATTGTTATATCTCAGAATTTGCCAGAGTACCTGGTTTGTAATATTTGCATAATATATTTGCCAAGCCAAATTGAAGTTAAAATCTCACTAGTAAACTGTATTCTGGATTCTGACAATGACAGATGCCTAACCTGATCCAAGAGAGAACAGAGAACACTTCTAAACGAAGCAAAGGGGGAAATCCCAAAAAATACTTTTTAAAGCACAAGAGACTAGTTTGCATAACTTTTGCAAGTAAAATTTAAAATCTGGAAGGAATAAATAATTTTCTAAGAAAATAATTTATCAGCACTTACCCTAAAAAACACACTAGATATTAAAGGATTGATTTCCTTAGAAGAAATAAGAAAAAATTATTCTATTTTCAAAACTTTTTAAAATCATTTTTCACTTTCAATTATAGTTGATGTACATTATTAGATTAGTTTCAGGTGTACACCCCAGTGATTACATGTTACATAACTTACTAAGTGATCATCCTGATAAATCTTGCACCCATCTGACACCACAGCTATTTTTTTTTTAATTTAAAAAGATTTTATTATTTATTTTCAGAGAGGGAAAGAGAGGGAGAGAAACATCAACTGGTTACCTCTCACATGCACTGCAACCAGGGACAAGCCCACAACCCAGGCATGTGCCTCTGACTGGAAATGGAATTGATGACCCTTTGCTTTGTGGGACAATGCCCAACCAACTGAGCCACAGCAGTCAGGGCCATACATAGTTATTAAACTATTATTGACTATATTCCCTATGCTGTACTTTACATCCCCATGACTGTTCTGTAACAACCAATTTGTATTTTTTTTAAACATTTATTTATTTTTAGAGAGAGGGGAAGAGATGAAGAAAGATAGGGAGAGAACTATCAATGTGTGGTTGCCTCTGGCACACCCACTACTGAGGACCTGGCCCGCAACCCAGGCATGTGCCCTGACTGGGAATTGAACCAGCAACCCTTTGATTCACAGTCCAGTGCCCAGTCCACTGAGTCACATCAGCCAGGACCAATTTGTGCTTCTTAATCCCTTCACCTTTTTCACCCAACCCCTCAAACATCTTCCCATCTGGCCACCATCCGAATGTTCTCTATTTATTAGTCTGTTTCTATTCTGCTTATTCATTTGTTTTGTTTTTAGTTTCAATTGTTGATATGTATTTATAGCCATTTTATTGTTGACATTTTTTAATTTTTTTCTTCTTTTTTAAAATATAGTTTATTGATTATGCTATTACAGTTGTCCCATTTCCCCCCTTCACTCCCCTTCACCCTGCACACCCTCTCCCACCCACATTCCCCCCCTTTAGTTCATGTCCATGTGTCATACATATAAGTTCTTTAGCTTCTACATTTCCCATACTATTCTTACCCTCCCCCTGTCTATTTTCTACCTACCGTCTATGCTACTTACTCTCTGTACCTTTTCCCCCTTTCTCCTCCTCCCACTCCCCTGTTGCTAACCCTTCATGTGATCTCCATTTCTGTGGTTCTGTTCCTGTTCTAGTTGTTTGCTTAGTTTGTTTTTGTTTTTTGTTTTAGGTATAGTTGTTAAGTCATTGTTTTAGGTATAGTTGTTAAGTCATTTTACTTTACATGTTTTTTTATCTTCTTTTTCTTAGATAAGTCCCTTTAACATTTCAGATAATAAGGGCTTGGTGATGATGAACTCCTTTAACTTGACCTTATCTGAGAAGCACTTTATCTGCCCTTCCATTCTAAGTTAAAGCTTTGCTGGACAGAGCAATCTGGGATGTAGGTCCTTGCCTTTCATGACTGGGAATACTTCTTTCCAGCCCCTTCTTGCCTGCAAGGTCTCTTTTGAGAAATCAACTGATAGCCTTATGGAAACTCCTTTGTAGGTGACTGTCCCCTTATCTCTTGCTGCTTCTAGAATTCTCTCCTTCATTTTAATCTTGAGTAATGTAATTTTGATGTGCCTTGGTGTGTTCTTCCTTGGGTCCAACTTCTTTGGGGCTCTCTGAGCATCCTGGACTTCCTGGAAGTCTATTTCCTTTGCCAGACTGGGGAAGTTCTCCTCTATTATTTGTTCAAATAAGTTGTCCACTTGTTGCTCTTCTTCTTCCCCTTCTGGTACCCCTATAATTCGGATGTTGGAACATTTAAAGATGTCCTGAAGGTTTCTAAGCCTGTCCTCATTTTTTTGAATTCTTGTTTCTTCTTTCTTTTGTGTTTGATTGTTTCTTTCTTCCTTCTGGTCCACTCCATTGATCTGAGTCCGAGTTTCCCATCACTATCCCATCACTATTGATTCCCTGTACATTTTCCTTTATTTCATTTAGCATAGCCCTCATTTTTTCATCTAATTTGTGACAAAATTCAACCAATTCTGTGAGCATCCTGATCACCAGTGCTTTGAACTGTGCATCTGATAGGTTGGCTATCCCTTTGTCGCTTAGTTGTATTTTTTTTGGATCTTTTCTTTGATCTTTTCTTTTATTTGGGCCATTTTTTTAATCTTGTTGCACCTGTTATGTAGTGAGGGGCAGAGCCTTAGTTGTTCACCAGGGCAGGGCAACCCATGTGGGCTGTGTTGTGATGCTGTATGTGGGAAGGGGTCTGGGAGGGAACAATGGCACTTGCTCTGCTCTCTGACAGATTTCAGCCACTTCTGCTGCTTCCCCCAAGCAAACCGGGCCCTTCTGGTTCTGATTCCCAGATGGGTGGGCTTGTGTACATTCTAGGACCCTGTGGGTCTCTCCAATCAACTCTCCTGTGAGGCTGGGAGTTTCTCCCAGCACCTCAACCCCCACAGGTGTTTTCAGTTAGTAATTTGAGGCTTTATTTCCCCACACTCAGAGCCTGGGTTGCGTGGTCTGTCTTGCTCCCTAGTTTCGCCTGGTTTATCTGTGCATGAATGTGGGACTGCCCAGTCTGCCAGTCACCTTGCCAGCCATCTTCCCAGCCACCTTGTGTGCCATGCCCCTCCATAATCCGCCACCTTACTGGGTCCACCAGCCACCACCTGCATGCCTGGGGTCTGCCAGCTGCTGCCTTGTGCCCAAGGTCTGCCAGCCACCACTTTTTTTTTGCTGTGACCCCTCTCCACTGGGCTGCCTGATTCTGCCCCTCCTACCAGTCTGGATGAATGTGTTTACTTTAACTCCTTGGTTGTCAGACTTCCATACAGTTCAATTTTTTGTCAGTACTGGTTGTTTCTAAATTTTTGTTGTCCTTATTTTGGTTGTGCAAGGAGGCACAGTGTGTCTACCTACACCTTCATCTTGGTTGGAAGTCCCTGATGTTTTTTTCTTCTTAAAAGGTTCCTTTAACATTTCTTGTAATACTGGTTTGGTGGTAGTTAACTAACTCCTTCAGCTTTTTCTTGTCTGGGAAGCTCTTTATCTGTCTTTCAATTCTAAATTATAGCTTTGCTGGGTAGAGTAATCTTGAGTGTAGGTCCTTGATTTCATCACTTTGAATATTTCTTGTCAATCCCTTCTGGCCTGCAAAGTTTCTGTTGAGAAATCAGCTGGCAGTGTTATGGGAGTTCGGTAGGTAACTGCTTTTCTCTTGCTTTTTAAAGATTCCCTTTGTTTTTAATTATGATGTGTCTTTGCATTCTAATTATTATGTCTTGGTGTGGACCTTTTGGGTTCATCTTGTTTGGGACTCTCTGTGTTTCTTGGACTTTTATGTCTATTTTCATCACCAAGTTAGGGAAGTTTTATGTCATTATTTTTTTAATAGATTTTAAATTTCTTGCTCTCCCCTCCTTCTAGACCCACATAATGTGAGCATTGGTACACTTAAAGTTGTCCCAGAGGTTCTTCTTTGCACTATTCTTATTTGTGGGGATTCTTTTATCTCTTTGCTGTTAGGATTGGGCTTTTTTTGCTTCCTTGTATCCCAAGGGATATATTCCTTATATCCCAAATTGCTGATTTGAGTCTCAGCTTCATCTACTCTACTGTTGATTCCCTTTAAATTATTCTTCCTTTCAGTTAATGTATCCTTCATTTCTGACTGGTCTTTTTTATGCTGTTAAAGTTCTTGCTAAGTTCATTGAGTATCCTTATGCCCAGTATTTTGAACTTTGCATCTGGTAGATTGCTTGTCTCTATTTTGTTTAGTTCTTTTTCTGGGGGTTTGTTCTGTTCTTTCATTTGAACCATGTTTCTTTGTCATCTCATTTTCCAACCTCCCTGTGCTTGTGTTTATGTATTAGGTAGAGGTGTTACATCTCTCAGGGTTGGTAGAGTGACCTAATGTAGTTGGTGTTCTGTAGGGTCCAGTGACATAGCCTACCTAATTACCCAAATTGGGCACATGAGTTGTGCCCCTCATGTGGGGCTATGCACATTATTCTCTTGTACTTGGGCCTTGATTGCTGTTGGCACATCAATGGGAGGTATTTACCCCCATGCTGATCAGCTTCATTGACTGTCTTGACCACTTACTGCTGACCTTCAACCACCATGGGGGATGAGCTGTGCAGGGGCCCATGCCACAGAGCAGGATTTATTTCAGTGGGGCTCTGATGTCTGCTGAGTCCAACCCTGAGTTTGTTGTTTGTGGAGGTGGTTGGCTGGTGATGCTTTGATGTGACCTGAAGCTGCCCACTGGGTGCACTGGCTCTGGGGCCTTCTGGGAGGTGAAGGGCAAGGTCTGCCACCACCTGTATTCTGCCCAGGGCCATCCAGCATGAGCTACAAAGCAATATGCAGATGGCTGCTACTTGTGCTGGGCTTGGAGGTGCCCTGGTGAGGCCAAGGTGTGAACCAAGACTGGCTGCTGCTAGTGCTGGGTCTGGGGCCACTTAATGTGGTAAGGGGCTTACTGAGGAGATGCTGCTTGTTTGAGAGATTTTAGGAAAATCTGAAACATGACCCAAGATAGGCAATACATATGGAAAAACCACTGGAAACAGCCTGAGTGGGCCCACAAATTGGGTGGGGCAGTGCCTCAGAGTCATCAGGGCGGGGTGAACAGTGTGAGCCAGGTTGATGGAGTCTCCAATATGGTGCCTGCCTGCTGGCTCTGTTGGGGGAAGGCTCAGAAAAGTAGCAATGGCCTCTGCCAGCACTTCTGCTGGGAGAAAAAGCTGCTCCCCCAGTTCTTGCCCTGATGCCAGACAACTCATTTCCTCTTCATATGCCTCTGGTGCCTTTTAAGCTACTGCTCCAGTGTGGGAGCTCAAAGGGAGTGAGTCTGGGTGAGTCCATGTGTGGGCCCTTTAAGAAGAACTGCCTGGGCCCTGGCTTGTGTGGCTCCATGGATCGAGTGCTGGCCAGCAAACTGAAAGGTTGTAGGTATGATTCCCAGTCAGGGCACATGCCTGGGTTGCAGGCCAGGTCCCCCGCTGGGGGCGTGTGAGAGCCAACTGATCAATGTTTCCCTCCCTTCCTGTCTCACTAAGAATAAATAAATAAACTGTTTAAAAATTTTTTTAAAAAGAGGAACTACCTGGGACTTCTGAAGCCCTTTGTCTTCCTCAACTTCAATCCCTGCTGGTTTTTATAGAAAGAAGTTATGAGGACTTTTCTTCCTGGCACTGGCACTGGCCAGCTGGGCTGGGGGCCTCAGCAGCCAAGATGCCCCTCCCTATTTTTATCTACCACAGGTGGGCGTGGGGCTAGCCCATTCCGCGTCTCCACCCCTCCTACCTATCCCAATGTGGCTTCTTTAATTCCCCAGTTGTAGGACTTCTGTTCAGCCAGGTTTTAGATGGTTTTGAATGGTGGTTGTTCTGTAGTTTAGTTGTAGTTTTGATGTGGTTGTGGAAGAGGGTGAGTACCACATTTACCTATGCCAACATCTTGATTGGAATTAAAAAAAAAATATTTTAAAATTTCAAAAAGCACCAACCCAGAGGTTTCCAAAGGAGGATTGTATAAAACCTTTCAAATTTAGGTAATCCCAATGCTGTCTGAACTATTCCAGAAAACTGAAAAAGGACAGTTTCTACATTGCTCATGAAGCAAATATAATAACATTGGTACTAAACTCTGACAAAGTTAGCACAATAAAAAAGAAAGTCACAGAGCAATGTCACTTATTAATATGAATTTTGAAATCCAAAATAAAATATTAGTGGACAGAATTCAGCAGCACATTAAAAATAATATATTTTGATGGAATATATAATTGAATGTAATATACTAAATAGAAGAATAAATGTGCAGAACATCATGTAGAGAATACTGCAATATGAAATAATAGAGTCTAGAAGGGAACATAAGAACATATATTTTTGTATTTCCTTATCTTTCATAAACACTAAACAAATGCAGACAGTGAAACGAATTGTCACCTGGTGGGGGAGGGGTGGTAATGGGAAGGCTGGACTGGGGCAGGAGTGGAAGACAGATGTTTCTTGACTTCTTTTTCATAGTTTTTCTTTTAACCATTTTCACATGTTGTCTAGTCAAAAATAAAATTAGTTTTGAAGAAAAGAGCTGTATTTCTATCCTTTTGGGGAGGACAGTAATCACCTTGTTCAGTGCTAGATTTCTTATTAATTCATGCAACAAGCATTAGTTGCCAGACAGTGTTCGAGTTTGCTTGTCAGTCACTCAGGCTTTTTTGAAATTTCCGCCTCCCTGGGTCAGGGCGGCATTTATGTAGTCTCCCTTCAAGTGCGGATGTTCAAATCCATGTGACTGGCTTTAGACAACATTAGGGCCCATTTCTGGGAACAAAGGACCATTCTGTAAATTGTCTGTGGCCTTTATAACTGGCCAACCTCTGTTCCACAGACGGAACTTTAACTCTTCTGTTGTGCTTCATTCAGACAAACAGAAGGCACGTGTGGGACCAAATCATTGGATTTAACTGTCTACATTGACCAAATGGACTATATATTTCTTCTCAAAGTTGTGAGATACTATGGAGAGGTGGTTCCCCACTGGCCCAGGAGCAGTGGCGTGGTCCCTGAATGGACTCTGAGGGCCAGCCCCGGAGAACCGCAGTGCTCGCTGCTCCAGGCTTTTGCTCATGACCCCCATGTACTCTGCTTGCTAACAGAGACATCATCACTCTCGTGGCTCAAGTGGTTCCAATCTACGCTGTTTCCCATCTCTTTGAAAGTCTGGCTGTAAGTATTATGCAGTTGTCCCGTAAGCACCTTTACAATGTGTGTGCTGCTTCTGATGATGGTGAAATGAAACAGAGAAGCGGAGTGGGTGGGCAATACCAAACATTTCCTATTGCTTTCCAAGAACACTTGCATGTGGCAGTGCCACAAATGGCGGATGGGACCGCTCAGGCGGGGGCTGGTCATCTAGCCTGGCATTGCACTGTTCACACTGGTGTGTTATCTGCCCACAGTGCACAGGCGGTGGCATTCTGAGGGGAAGTGGGAACCAGAAAGTTGGAGCCATCTTTAACGCCATTGGGTACTATGTGATTGGTCTCCCCATCGGGATTTCATTGATGTTTACAACCAGACTGGGAGTGATCGGTAAGCGCTAACTGCAGGTGGGCAGGGCTGAGTTTCTCATCACCCGAAGTGACTCTTAGAGCAGGTAGGCTTTCACTGAGAGCTCTGGCACTTCGGAGCTTTTCCACATTCATCCTGTGCCAGTCAGAGGCTGGCGGGGTGGGGGGGGCGGGAGGGAGCGCAGCCCAGGGCTGCATGCTCACGCCTCTCTTAACAGCGTGAGCCATCTCCCACGCTCACCCACTGTAGCCAGCAGCGTGGCCTTTCTACTCATCCCCTGTGGGATGGCATCGAGTGTCCATGTCAAGTGGGCAGTAGCAGGGGCTGCTGCGGAACCATTCAGAGATGTGCCTGTTGTGGTTCCAGCCTTGCTCTTTGGGGTCAGCTCTGTATAGTGAGACCTGGAGAGGGAGTCTGCAGGACTGACTGAGGCTGTCAAAAGCTGGCCACATGGGAGTTTTTGGGATGGTGGTAGGGGGAGCCACAGGACACCCTTGGTGTGGTTCTTACAGAAGTGGTAGGAGCACCCGTGGTGGCTGCATACATCCTGGAGCAAATGCCCCGAGCCGGCGATGCCTCTGGCAGGACTCACAGGGAATGGTCCCCGAGGTGCGCCCTCAAGGTCACCTTCACCGCCACTCTACAGCCTCCCCCTCTGGCCTGGTGCAGCCCTTTAAGCCTTGTGTTCTTGGATCTCCCTGCAAGGCCATGTGTGTGCTATGCGTGAACAGCACACAGGGAGGGCAGGGCGGAGGGGACATTTTCATCATCTTAATCCATTTGGAGGAAAGAACTTAATCTACAGGACCTGAAATTACCAGACTAATTTTTTTTAAAAGTACAGAAAGAAATGACTGACCAGCTTTGATTTCTAAAACAATAATTTGGAAGGCATTGACAATTAGTCAATGATTATATTGAAGTTTGAAAACATTACCTTTGGGTGACACTGAAGTTGACTTAAGCCTGGTTTGTTTTCATCCATTAGCACTTGGCAGGTTCAGAGGGGATGAGGAGTCATTTGATACCTCAAATGAACTTTCAGTCCAAAGTGTCCCATTACATTGCACATTTTTTCTCAAGTTCAATAATATTTTAATGAAAAATACATGGAATATATAAAGAATGGAGTTGCCAATGCAAAGTTCACTGGGCTTGCATCCTAGTGCAGAAAATCATTTAACTGAGTTCCTAGCATTACTCATTTTTTAGATTTGACAATGGTATATAGCTATGGGAAATATATGAGGAATCCACTTAAAAATATAGATGCATCTATGTCCCAAGTACTGTACTAGGATCACTAACTTATTTAACAAACATACATACTATGTGCAAAGTACAGGTAATTAAGAATCACTTAAATTCTGGTGCAAACTTCCATCTGTAAAATAAATGTTATGGCAATGTCATGTACAGCATGGTGACTGGCTGCATTGTATATTTGAAAGTTGCTAAGAGAGATGATCTTAAAAGTTCTTATCATAAGAAAAAACACTAACTATGGGTGGTGATGGATCTTAACTGGAATTATTGTGGTAATCATTTCACAATACAGCTGATTCTTGAACAATACAGATTTTAACTGCTCAGGTTCATTTATATGCGGGTTTGTTTCAATAAATACAGTCAGCCCCTTAAATCCTCAGATTTCACATCTGTAGATTCAACCAACCACAGATAAAAACCAGTATTTTTGTGTGGGGGAGCTTTGTCCAGCAGAGCCCCCACCCCCCAACCCTGGACATCACAGATGAGAATAAGTTTACCAAGACATGATCTGCTTGGGGAGGAAAAGTGGCCAATCTCTCAAAGCAGAAGGGCCTTGAGCCTGTTCCTCTATGGGCTTCCATTGGGTTCAATTCACACAGGAAGACAGGTAAAGCTCATCAATCAGTGTCAGGCAGTAAGGATCAAACAATAGATAACACTCAAAGAACTATGAGGGCTTATTTATTCTGAGTCAGGGTCAGTTAACTAAAGGGCCTTAAAACTTTGGGAAACAAACTCATTTCATGCTCGGACTCTTACCAGAAAATTGAGGGCATTCTTAACAAAGCAGTCTTCACAGGATTTTATGCATTCTTTCTTGGGCCTGATAGCCCTGGGGAACTGCCTGTACCTGCCCAGGCCTGCACTGCCCTCTGGCATTGCTTCGGGCTTAAATCAGGCAGGGGAAATAAATCAGCCAAGAGATTAAGGACTTTTCACAGACAGAATGAGGACTCAGGCTATGACAAGGCTGAGGGGTGATGATCCATCACCCCCTTTCTCTTTAGCCCCCCAAGTCCTTTTTTGGGGGCCCCTTCTGACCATGCCTGACTTAGGTCATCCCTCCCTTGAGGTATCTTACCCATCATTAGCTGACCAGTCATCTGCCTGGGGCCAAGCAGGGTGAAGTAAAGGGGGCAGAGGTGGCACCCCAGCCGGGAAGATAAGCTTTGTTTCCTTAGTGGCTTATGGTCCCAAGGTCTTTTTACTCAGCCTTAGCCATGAAGGGTTACAGCTTCTGAAACTAGGCAGGGTAGTTCCCAACATTTTTATATTTCCAAAAGTGGTTTCCCAACTGCAGATTGCAAATACTGTTTTATTCGTGGTTGGTTGAATCTGAGGATGGGAAAGGTCAACTGTAGTTAGATTTTGGGAGAGTCAAAAATTATATGCAGATTTTTGAATGCACAGTCATGTGCACCTTTAACCTCTGCATTATTCAAGAGTCAAGTGTATGTACAAATATTGAATCATTGTGTTGTTTACCTGAAATGAATATAATGCTGTAAGTCAATTACATCTTAATAAAAATGTTGTGGTCTTGGGGGGAGGGGGGAGGCCTCTTCAAGAAGACTGTAGTTAGTGTGTGCCACACTCACTTTTAAAAAAAAGTATAGTTCCACCTGGTTTTGAGAATGATGTCACCTCTGGTGGGTGGGCAGTGCACCTACCCAAGGTGCCTTAGGAGGGTCAGAGTGCCACAGGTTCTCGTGGGTAGCTCCATTCTAATTTCCTCCCAGGAAATGGCTTTTCAGACACACAGATTCCTGGGCCCTGCCCAAGGGGCTCTGATAATCATCCTGTTGCAGGGTTCTTAGGTTGAGTCAAACAGCAATCTTTTAAATGGTGTATGGTGGAATCCTGGAAATCTAATTCACAACTTTCAAATTACAGCTGGAGGCAGCTGGTTAAATTCTGTTCAAGATGATTAGAGTGAGCTTGTAGTTTCTATGGCTTGGGAACACTGGATCTGATGTGTATGTGCTTTTACTAGTCCATATGGGAAGGGCAGGTAGTCACCAACTCTATTCTAAATATCACACTGATCACATCAGTGTGAAAATGTGACCTGAGAGTGACTGGTACCAAGGAGCAGAGTTGAAAACTTTGCACTGAATTTGGGCACCTCCACCTGTACACCATTGGTTGTCTAGGTTCCTTCAGTTTACCCAGATCCAGAATTCAACAGAGACCAAGCAAATGGGCAAAGCAAAGGCCATTTATTCAGAGCTTGCGTTTTGCCAGGGACTAAAAGGCAGGCAGAGGAGTGGGAGAGCCTCACAGCAGCGGGCCAAAGGGAAGGCTCAGGTGGGCCCTGAGGGAGGCTGCTGGCCCAGGGAAGCTGGGGGCAGGCTGACGGGAAGTGGGGTGTTCTGTTTGACTGATCAAGGGTGTGTGGGTTTTTCTGGCTGGTCCTAAGTTGGAAGCAGGGACAAAAATTAGGGAAGTTGTCACTTACTGATCAAGTGCTGGCCATCTTGGGTCAGTTGTTGCAGAAAGCATTATTGAGTTTCCTAGTTTGGCCCTAGCAAGAGCAGTCTGGCCTCCCATAAGACTGAAGTACAGCACACTGGCTTCTGGGGTATTTATTGCAGATAAGGGGTTGGGTGTTTAAACAGGTTGCTTTAGGTTGTGGGTCAAAGTTCTTTTTTAAATATGGTTTGACCTTTGTGTGTTTGTATATTTGTTCTCTCACAGCTATTGTTAGAGCTTCTGATGTCATTAGTTCACAGTTGACCCCAAATCCCTCAACCCTCGGTGCCTCCCCCTGTGTTCGCGTGGTACTTGGGGACCTACAAGGCTTTTCTTGTGCTCCACTTCCTGTCAGCCTGTCCTCCTGTGTCATCATCTCCCTGCAGATGGCCCTGCCTGGGGAGCTCCTGAAGTGAGCAAGATTCTGCAGGCAGCTCCAGGGAGAGCTTTAGTCCTTTAGAGGCTGGTGACTTCTGCCTATTTAACATGTCTGTTCTATTTTTGAAGAAAATAGGGCATAGTAGCTTGGTAGTACTATTAGAAATAGCAAGTTGTTTGTCCTGTAAATGTTATTTCCTTATAACTGTCACTTTTCTTAAGAGCTAAGCATTATGATTCTGAATAAATGTTCTGAGATCCAAAACCCCAAGAAGTAGGGAGCACTGGGCCTCCCAGGGACCTTCTGAAAGCTGAAGGAGAGGGCTGGAGGAGTCTCTGGCTCAGGCTCAGCTGTGCACACAGGTTCTCAGAAGTGAGACAGGAGAAACACTCTCCAAGGGTGGCCGGTTTCCCATAGAATTAACCTCTTTTAAATATTTCCACTTCTAGGTCTGTGGGCAGGGATTATCCTCTGCACAATCTGTCAAGCTGTGTGTTTTCTAGGCTTTATTGCTCGGCTGAATTGGGAAAGAGCCTGTCAACAGGTAACTATTCTCATCACTGTTCCGGGAAAGGTTCCCTTCCTAGAAAACAAGCGTAATTAGTGTGTTCTCTCTCTCTCTCTCTGTCTCTCTCTCATATTTTGGAAGGTTCTTTTCTCTCTGTATCACAAAGGCTACTTTCTTATTGTTTTAACTGCATTTAATTCAGACGTGAAGAGCCAGATGACCCTTGCTTTATCCATTACCCCTCTGCCTAAAAAACCAATTTCAGGACAAAATTTGGAACTGGAGAGATAGGTGGGACACCATCAAATTTATCCTGATACTGTTTTTTTTACAATCTCAAAATATTAATTAAGATACTTGTGTGCATCTTTCCAACTTTCTAGGGTCAATATGGGATCTGAAAAATGGGAGATAGCTTAATTAGATGAAGGAACAAGAAGGGATAACTGTAAATGATCTTGGTCCCCATCTTCCCCCTCATCTTGTGTTTTTCTGTCCAGCTTTCCCCACCCACTGAGCCCTGTCAATCATTCTAAAGATGGCTCCATACTTGTGACCTAGAGAAGTGCCAGTGTTGCATGTTAGTTAGAGACAATGGCTTGGCTTTTCCTAAACTGGGGAGTCAAGTCAAATGTTTTAACAACACTGGTAAAGCCTGGTGGATTTACTGTGTATTTCATCTTGTAGGCTCAGGTGCATGCCAATATGAAACGGAACACGGCCCCGGATGGGACTCTTCTCTCCCAGGGCTTCCTTTGCCCAGGTATGGTGTCACTGCCTCTCCAGGTGGTCCTACAGGGGCCATCTGTGGGAAGCAACCGGACTTGCTGCCCTGAGCCCCCATTTAAATAGGGTGATAATGTTTCAGAAACAAACAATAAGATTGAGAAATGCCCAGTTTGAGGCAAATAGACTTGAGATTTGTTTGCTGTAATTCCAGGCATCAACATACTGCTGTAGATGATTAAAGACTGCAGGTAGCCAACTCCTGGCTCATTTATGGTGCTCATCCAAGCATTCTAGGGACACTCCTAATGCATGGTGATGCCGTATCTTGAGCTCATCTTGGCAGCTGACATTCATATGTTGTTTCCATGGTGTTCTCCTATTTGTCAGGCAAACATGGGCTTTAAACAGATCATTGCTTTGACTTCTGACTGTTGATTCTGATGAACACCATGCAAATGTGTTTTTCATCAGTTTAGTAGTCCCCCAGGTTCATTCCTGAGGCATTCAGTCATGCTCTCACAGTTTTTTTGCCGCTTTGTAACGGAAACCCTTTTGAGTTCATAGACTGGCTGAAATACAGTCAGTGGTCAATTCTGTGGTTTCTGCCAGATCTCATTCATGTGTCTAGTTTACTTTGTGCCTGGTTATCTCTGATTGTGTTCCAGACTTTTGTATCTGAAAATTGTCTGTCAAAGTAATCTGAGGCCTCAAGTGATATTGTCTGTCTTCAGAGAGGATATTCCTTTGCTTCTGCCCAACACTTACAGTTATTAGCAGTCTAGAACAATTTCAGAAATGGATGTTTCTGGACCACCCGGCTGAGCCAAAGGTGACCAGTTAAGGGCCCATTTACTTCTGGTTCATCCTTAATTCTTGGATCCAGCCCTTCAGAGCTCCAACCTGGAGTGTGGAGAGGTTTGCCTGGGTTGCTGCCAAGCTTCCCAAAGTGCTGCTTGGTCCCCATGGAGACCTCAGGCCAACAGCGTCCCTGGAGCCCTGTTTCCACCTGCCCTAGATCTTGCCTGGTGACTGACCTTTCATTACATTGTTAGTGCTCTGGCACCTTCAAGGTGACATTTCTCATTTATCTTATCAAGATTTTGTAGTTATCTTCAGAGAAGGGGTTGGTTCCAGTTTACTACCATCTACCATTTATTAAAAGCTAGGATAAGAATAGCACTAACCTCTCCCCGCAGTTGAGAGGGCTCGGGGGCTCACAACGTGAGCCCCCGAGTGCAGTGTCTGACTCAGAGTAAGCCTTTGTGAGCATGAGGTGATGTCATTCTATTTGAAATTGTTTTCTCCCAGAGCTCCAAGGACATTGTAGCATGCCTACTACCAACTCACGTTTACTAAGAAGTGAATGCCAGTCTCAGTCTTGTTCTGTGAGGTTATCTGCCCTTATTTTTCTCTTGGGAAGCTTTTAGGATATTTTTCTTATTCTTGCTATTCTGAAATGTCATGAGACTAAACCCAAGGGTCAGAGTCACTATCATGCCGGGTACTTAGCACGCCTTCCAGAGAAAGGATTCACATCTGTCTTCAGTTCTATAAATGACCTTGAATTATATCTTTCTGTTGACCTTATTTCCTTTCTGAAATGATTATACAGGTGTTGGCCCCTTGAAAATTTCCCCTAACAACCTTAACTGAGAGAGCTGCCACATTTCCCTCGTTTCTGCCATGGGATAGGCACCCGGAGGCCCCAGGCCAGCAGCAGGGCTGGCCATGCCTGTGAGTCAGAATCTCCCACTGTAGCACTGCTTCCTGAACAGACTTTCTCCCAGACAGTAACACATGCTACACATCACCTGTTATATATCTGTCATACCAATGGAGAAAGTCCCTTTAAGCTGCTAACTAAGTTCCTTCTCCCCTCAGTGGGCCCTGAAAGCCATGGAGAAAGTTTAATGGCAGATGTTGAAAAAGAAGATGAGACCCAGTTGGATCAGCAGATGCACCGAGAAGAACATCCTCGGGTCCATCCCAAGGACGGGACGAGGCTGACTGGGAGACAGTTGGTGCTGTGGCGAGGGCTTGTGCTCCTTGGAGCCATTCTGATTCTGCTGGTGGGGATTTTAGTGAGAGTTTGCGTCAGAACCTAATGATGTGGCAAGAGAGGAGTCTGGTCAAGTGATACTTTTGAACTCACAAGCAAATAATTCACAGGTCGAAAGGTGGGAATTTGTTTTCAGTTAAGGTCATTCGACTATGCCCATGGATTTCAAGAACTGAGAGTTCAAAGATATATTGAAAGAAGAAAGGAACTAATGAAGAAAATGAACTAAGGTACAAAACTATGTTCTAGTCCAAGACAATGTCTGTGAGATTACATTAGAGTAGTAATTCATTCACTGCTGTCTGAACCAAGGGCCGTTGTGTGCTGACTATCTTCATCCATGGCTTCAATGTTCTACTTGCTGTTTTTTTTTTTGTTTTATTGTATTTTATTATTATTTTTTTTGATAGAAACCCATGTACTGAGTGCTTAAGGATTGTTGCTGTCTGAATTATTTAAAATATACAACTATGTTACAATATAGCTTTCCTTGTGCCTGAGGTTATTATTCAGTGGAAAATGACATTGTTAATATTCATTTGGGGGTCAGATCTCAGGCACTGGAGATGCCTAGGAAACAAAGAGGAGTCCGATGGCATCGATTAGCCAGCTGTCTGTCAAGGGCCTGGTGTCATGGCTGGTCTGGGCTGAACCGGACAGGCAGCGATCAGGAGGAGTGAAGCTGCAGGCTAAGGCTCTGCTGGGAACCAGCACTTCATCTTTTCTACAGTGGTGGGCATCCCACAGAGAGAAATAAGGGGTTTGAAGAGCTAACTGGGGGCAGAAATCAGGCCTTTTCCTACTTTGAGAGAAGGGATCCTGAAGTTGGGACGCAGCAGAAAAGAGGCTGTTAGGAGAGGTGAGGCCAGGGTCCTGGCAGGCCCTGTTTATCTTCTGTTGGGTCTGTTCTTATCTACAACAGGCGTGGGCTTTTGGTGGCAGACATGGTGTGTATCAAGGAGGTTTTGTGTGGCATGTCTCAGAAATGAGGAGGTCTTATGAATGCTCCCTTCTACCTGGCCTTGGAAAATCACCCGGGGAGTCTTAGAGCTATGGAGTACAAACAACCATTGCTAAACTCCCCCGGGGACGGGGTGGGGGGTGGGGGCGATGTCAGAGGACAAAGACTCAATCACAGCAGTAGGGTAAGTGGAAACCACATTGGATTCAGCCTTCTGGGGGAATTTTCATACCCTTAGCTCTGGAAGCCTCAGTGCGCGTTCAGAGTTCAGAGCGCTGCGTACTGGGATGGGTACAAAAGCTGCTCAAGGCCTCTGCCATGCAAGGGCAGGTAACAGAGGCTATCAGAAAAGTCAGCAACTGTAAGTGAAACACCCTGCTGCTGCTGTGTAACATGCAAAGTTTATTAAGGAAAGTGTGTCTCTTAATGAACCAAGTATAGTGCAGTTAGTGTGATTTGTGAAAGGACTACACTCCCGAGATATGGGAGCGCTCATGTCTTTGCCAACATGGAAATGACCTCTTCTGCCCAAGAGATGTGGGTTTTAAAGGGACAGGGGTTTCTCTGAACCCTTTGTCTCATTTCCAGGCTTTTGGCAGTGCGTGAGCCAAGTGGTGAATTTCTTCGTTTAGATTCGTGGGCTTCTTACTGTGCATGCTTAGTTAGTTACATAACCTTCAAGTTTGTGTGTGTGGGGGGGCGCTTCCTCACATATACCCTTGAGTGCCCTCTCAGGGTCAAACAGCAATGCTAATTCTTTATAGAATGATCATTAAGTAGTGTGAAACAGAGGTTAACTACCAATAAAGCTACCTGTGGGCAGGCAAGGTCTCTACCTAGGTGCTAAAAGCCGTTTCCTGGCAGCCAGGACACTAGGCCCTAGCCAGCCACAGTTGCAGTCTCAGAGTCCCTCCACTGCTACACTATCTCCTCCCTCAACTTCCCCCTGAGACTCATGGAAGCATGTTTCAATATATATGGAGACATATACATTGAAATTTTAACCTGGAAAACCTCAATGTGTGATGAAAACTAAGAAGTAATCAATTAGCATTATTTAGCTTGAACATTTTATATAATCTCTAGAAACCTTTTTCATCCACATAAAAAGTCCATTATTAACATGCTCTTATTTTTGTAAAACCCCAGGCAAAATAAAGAAATTTCTGTTATTTGTAAACCAACAACTTAAGTTAGCTTTTATTTATTAAGGATTAATTTTAACTTACGTGAATTTGAAAAGTAATTGAGTTAGCTTCTATATTTATGAGAATTTTAGAATACCCAATTCCTACAAGTGCTTGCCTTTAAATTAATTTTAATTCTACTACCATCTGGGGGTAGAAAATTATTTCACATTTACAGTATATGTGTCACAAACAGAATAGTTGGATCCATTTTTTTTGGAAGCATTTACAATTTAGATCTGTCCTTGGCAAGTCAAGTTCCAAGAGACTGTTCCCCTATATAGTGAGGACAGCCATTTTTTAAAAGATTTTATTTATTTTTTTTAGAGAGAGAGAAGAAGGGAAGGAGAGAGAGAGGGAGAGAAACATCAATGTGTGGTTGCCTCTTATACACCTGCTATTGGGGACCTGGCCTGCAACCAAGGCATGTACCCTGACTAGGCATCAGACCAGTGACCCTTTGGTTTGCAGGTCAGCACTCAATCTACTGAGCCACACCAGCCAGGGCAGGACAGCCATTTTTAACAAGAACATACTTTTAAGAGTCAGGCTGACACCTAAGTGACATCCTAAGTTGATTTATTTATCTAAAACCTATTTTTGAAGCCTCCAGAGACCAATTAAATACATTTCCATTTATTCTGCCTAATTCTATAGTCGGCCTTTTCTCATGGTGCATGCAAAATTAACTTGGAAGGATCAAAGAAGCTCCATTCCGGTCACCTTAGCAGTAACAGGAGGCTGACTGTGGTGGGCCTTGTTAGCCTGGGAGGCAGGATTTCCCATATTAATTTTGAGATCTGTAGAGTCTGTATAAACTTCTAGGGAAAGTCAGGCTTTGTCAGCCTGTCTCCAGATGAGCCAGTGCCGGGGACATCCCTGTGGCACTGCTGCACACTCCAGAGGGAGTTTGCCCCAGGCAACCCCAGGAGATTCCTCAACACCTGAGAATAGTCCAGCAAGGGCCTGCAAGAGCTAACGGGACACCGTTGGAACCCCACTGTTTCCCAAGGCTCGGGCTCCTCCCTTGGGTGCACCTGTCCCAGGGAGAAGGTCCCCTGCCCTTCTCCCCGGGGCTCCCACAAGCTCCTTTGAGATCAGCTGCATTACCACAATGGACACCTTCCGGCCCCCATCGCTGCCACTTGGGATTCAGGGGTCTGAGCAACTATCATCACCCCATTTACTATTCAGGCTGGTAGAGCCAGTGCCCCTTCTCTCTCAGAATGAAAGAGAGTTTAGTCTCTTGTTTAACCAGCAAAGATTTTGTTCAGACTTTCAGTAAGCAATTCAATTAAAAAGCCAAATTTAAAAGCACCAACTTATTTTTTTTCTTTCTCTGAGTTATCTCAATCCTTATTCACCATGAGGATTTTCTAAGAACAGCTCAAATATAGTAGTGGCTTGATATGTAAAGCAATAAGACCCATGATTTCAAGAGAAACTCAAACCAAGTTCATTCAAAGTGAAGTGGAGAGTGGGGCACAATGGGCCCTTGCTTATCCTCACACAGGGTTTAAGTCCACAGCGTGGTTTGTGGTGGGCTTCTTTGAAATCCTGCAGCACTATGACAGGTAAATGTTGATATAAGGAATGTCCAAACCTTAGAGAATATTTTGAGTTTATTTGAGGTAATACTTGTAGAGCCCTGGTCAAGATGGCAGAGTAGGTAAAAGCTGTGCTCGCCTCTTCCCATGATCACATAGAATATACAACTAAATGACAGAATGACCAATCTGGAGAATGATATGGAGACCAGCTGAACAGAAGTGCTATAACTAAAGATATAAAAAAAGAAGCCACATGGAGACTGGTAGGGGAGGAAGGAGATGTGAAGTGGGCTGCCCCACATTCACATGTGGTAGCGGAGAATTGAGAAGGATATCTCAGCTGCAGAGGTCCCTCCTCAAGGAGAAAGGGGCTCCAGCCCCACATTGGGCTCCCCAGCCCAGAGCCCCAGGTGCTGGGAAGTGGAGCCTGCACAATACCTGTCTATGAAAACCACTGGGGATTTTGTCCAGGAGAGACAGAACGCTGCTGGAATCCCAAGAGTCCTCCTAAAAAGACAGGCTCACAGACTCACTGGTAGGACCTCACCCTGGGCTCCAGCAGAACAGCAGCCAGGGGCATGGGGGGCAACATACAGGGAGAAACTGAGTTGTGTGGCTTCAGTGGAGAGCTGGAGGGACAGCTGCCATTGTCCCTGTGTTCAGCCCTCCTCCCACACAGTCAGTTCTGAATCTGCCTTAGCCTGGTGAACTCTACTCTCCCCACCCCGAGGACTTCCTAAGGCCCCACCCCACCCAACTCTCACACCACCAGAGGCTCTGCCAGTGCTGGCTGCCTGCCTTGGCCCTCACTGTAGTCTTTCTTAAAAGTCTGAAAGGGTCAGGAGGCAGCGGTGGCAGCCAGGGCTGAGGGAAGAAGGCGGACAATATGGACTGCATAGACATACATGGTTGTGGTCAGGGGTCCACCAAGAACGTGGTGACCACAGTCAGACACATTTGTATGATGATGTCATCCTTCCATGTGCACTAACAGAAATGCCCCAGAGGGCCAGGATTACATGGGTTCCCTCCCACCAACTGCTGGTGGCAGCACCACTACAAGAGCAGCACAAAATGTTGCTTATGTGTATACTGGAAAGAGAACTGCATTATATATTGGAAATCTGACATGATGGGCAACAGATGAAGACAGCTGAATCAGTTCATTCTTTGGGAATAAATCATATTTTGGAGATAAAATTTTTTGTATATTGGGCAGATGGCCAGTCAAAGGGGTTTGTCCTTTTTGGATCTGTTGTCTAAAAGAAAATTTCATAATCAGGATGCTGTTGCAACCCGATGAGTAGACAGTTCCTGAGTTAATTTGAAATGCGGTTCAGGAAAACTATACAGTTGGGACAAATGGCTGGGGAAGGTCAAGCTGCTCCTGCATGGGGCAGTTCAGCTGCAGCATTTCCACGAGGTGGTGGAGGATGGGGCCGATTCAGGGGCTGTTCTCAGTGGTGACACATTTTCTGGGCCAGCAAGACCAGGAGGGCCACTGTCCCCTTTCTGGCTAGACAGGCTATATCATGTCCACCCTCAGGTCCTGCAGGCCTACCTGGTCCCCCAGGTCCTCCATCTCCTGGGAAGGCTCTGCTGCCTTCTTTAGCTGGGTCTCCTAATTGAGAATACCCTCCACCACCAGTTCTTTATCCCAGGTAACTTTTTGGACAACCTGTATTGGGTTCGCTCCCTCCTGGTCCATGCCCTCCAGTTTCAGGCTGCAGCCGTCCCTCTGGTCCACTTTGTGACAGGGACCACCTGCCCCCCCCCAGGCCCTTTCTCCCTCGCTCACTTGGTCCTCTCAGGCCAACCCTTATGCTTGCTCCTCCTCTGCATCTTCCTGGACTACCTCCAGGTGCCCCACTGCCAGCTCCACATGTGAACCTGGGTTTTCTTCTTCCATCAGCTCACGGTGAAGTGCTTACATCAGAGAGTCAGGGTCCACCACCAACAGATCTATGTGGCCGACCTTCATCATACCATAGGGGTGACTGTGGGCCTCCTGGAAGGGGAATAGATAGAGCAAGAATGCTGTTGAGTGAAGCTGAGTTTGAAAAAATTGTGACTAGGAACAGGGAGATTTTAAGCAGTGCTGTTTCAAGAGCTGTGTCTGATGTCAGCATGGTTGATTATGTGAGGGCCTCTGAGACACTGGTAACTGCAATTTCTTTGCTTCAACAATCCAAAGTATCTGATGATGATCATTGCAAAGTTACTACTAGATCTTTGCAAGATTGCATTGTGGAAGTGAATCCAAGTCTTATGGTTCTGGACCCTGACCCATGCAGTGTACAATCGAGAGAGGGATCCTTGAAGATCACGA